CTGGTTGGCAGTGTATAGGGCCTGGAAGCTGCGCTGGTTGTCCTCCCCGAGGCCCTGCAGCAGGGTTCTGCCCCTTAATCCCCATCTCAAGCAAGCAGAAGCTCCAAAATTAGACCCCAGTTGATCTCCCAGGGGTTCTCAGCAGAGTTCCTCCCTACCACCAACCCTGTGCTCCTGCTGGTCCTCCTGCTCAGCACTGTCTCCCTCTTCCCCTTTACACAGGGAAGTCCTCCCAACACTCAGGCAGGCATAAACTCTCTCTCTATTCTGGATTCCCGGAGCCCCAGCTATCTGACCCAAGAAACAGCCTGCCTGAAACAGGGCTCGAGAGAGTATACAGGTGGGGTGGGGGTGTTGAGTACCTTGGCGATGCCCAGCAGGAGCTCCAGGTCCACCAGGAGCTTGTAGACATCCCGGTGGAACACGGCCAGCTCAGCCCGGCTCACCTGGAACATCTTCTCTGGATCAGGAGCTGCGATCATGGATCCCTTTCCGGCCCCCAGGAGCCCATTGCAGGCTACTTCCACATAAAGGGTCAGGCTACAAATGTGGGGAGGCAGCCTCAGGCCAAGGGACTGGCAGAGGACTCTGGGGCTTGGGCAGGGAGGACCAAGGAGGCATCCAACAGACCCCTCCTCATGTGCCCGCAGGATCTACCACCCAGAGGATCTCACAGTTATGTCAGGTATGTTTGACAGAGGGTCATGGTGGAAACAACAGACTAAACCCACATTCTGCCTCGGCTGGGGAGGATAAGTAGCCAAGTTTGGAACTGTGTGAATTATGTTGTTATACTTCTGTTTCTAAAGCCGTCTATACAAAGCACTGCCTGGGTCTCAGAACCCTCTTTGCACATTAAAAACATGTTTGGATCTCCCAGGTCCAGGTTTCAGAGCAACAATCTGTCAGCCAACAGATGCAGGCCATTGTTCGGAGCAGTGTGATAGGCTGTGGTGCTGTTCTGCTCAATCTTCAGAAAGCAAACATGACTTCCTTCGGGAAGCCTTCTGGGACTCTTCCCCTAGTGCTCTCCTTAGTCTAGAACAGATTTCTCCCATTCAGAGTGCTTTCTTTCAGAGCCCTCATCAGTTTTGTAATTGGATATGTAAGTCTCCCTTGCTGTCAAAGATCACATCATTCACCATCATAGTCCCCATGTCTGGAAACATCAGATACACAATGTTTAATAAATACTGGATATAATAAAATATAACATCTAAGCAGAGTTTTTTGATGGTGTCATAAAATGCACATGTTACAATATGGAATTTTAAAAAATCAGGATGCAAAATATCAAATCTCAGCTAATAAGTGCCACCTCTGAAAAAATTCCTGGGAAGAATGCTGAGCTGTTAATAATGGATATCTCTAGATGACGAGGTAGTAGGAATTACTAATATTTACTTCTTAGTGCTTTTCTGCATTTAATGTAGGAACTAAAATGCTATCTTTTTGGTCAGAAAAATCCTGCTTTTTAAAAACAAACTATGAGGGTTGAGGATGGTGGTATTGAAAGTGGGTGTGTTTCTGAGATCACTCTGGACCTTGGCGCCTCCTCACCCTCTGGTGCCTCCTTCCCCTACAGCACTGGTCAGCCATAGTCCAGGGACTCACTCACCTGCGGGGTTCTTTCTCCCCCAGCTTGTCGGTCAGAATGTAGCTGGTTTTCTCTCCCTCTTTGGTCAAACCCTGGTGGGGAGCGGAGTGAAAGAGACAGGGCCTGAGGCTTGTGGACGGTTCTGGTGAAGTATAAGCTGAAGGGGGCCAGGCCCCTCTACTGGACCTCTAGCACTAGCTCCTCTCTCCCAAGGCCAAGACTGACAAATCAGGGACCTCTGGTAGCTAGTGCGCCTCACCCCCAACGGCAGTCAGCACCATGGACACCAAATGTCACCTGTTGACCAGCAGAAAAGCCACTGGTCTTGTGGGGTCTTAGGTAGGTGTCAGGTCCTTGGTGGCTTCTGATGGCCTCTGTACCCCAAATAAGCATCTGACAGGAAACGCTATGAGGTCAGGGAAAGGTTTGCTTCATTCTCCACTACATCCCAGTGCTTAGCACAGGGACCTGTGAAGAGACAGCACTCAGGAGACATCCACTGAGCCAAGGAAGGGAGGGAGGAAGGGAGGGGTCTGCTGCCTTTCTGCATAGGAAGAGCAACAGTCCTAACCTGAGACTGAGGATTAGTCAAACTGAAATGGAAGTTGTGTGAACCCAAGCAAGTGTGCTAACCTCTACATATCTCAGTTTCTGTCTGTGAAAAGTGAAAGTGTTAGTCGCTTGGTGGTGTTTAACTCTGCAATTCCATGGACTGTAGTCCGCCAGGCTCCTCTGTCCATGGAATTCTCCAAGCAAGAATACTGGAGTGGGTAGCTTCCCTTCTCCGGGGATCTTCCTGACTCAGGGATCGAACTCAGGTCTCCTGCACTGCAGGCAGATTCTTTACTGTCTGAGCCACTGGCCATAAAAACCTATCACATAGGATTATAAAGGTTAAACCTGATAAAGTTGGATGCATAAACAAGGCACTTAATAGTGGCTCTATCTGAGGAACTGGGGGTGAGGTGGTAGGGAGAGACCCATTATTTCAGGTAAAGAGGACTTTGTAAACTTTATATTATCCAGAACTGTTTCAAAGTCCTCCCCAGCTGCCATAAGCATATATTACATATAATAAAAACTAGTTTATTAAAAACTAAAAATAAAAGGTGATATAGTCTGCAAAGCCACTAGTCTGGCACCAAGCATCTAGTAAAGGTTTAGTAAGTCCATCTGCTGTACATATTATTGTATTTGATTAGTAACTAGTTTCATTCTAGAATGGGAGGGTGACCAGTCAGTGGCAGAGTTGGCTTAGCATTAATTATGTTGAGACCTTAAGTGATCCGCTTAAATATAAGAAGGAACAGTTACACAGGGGCCTAAGCAAAAACTCATCCAGTCCTGAAATCCTGATACTACCCTGCAGGCATAGCCACTCAGCTGTCGTTTCGCCAGAGACCAGGGCTGAAATGTGGCCATACTTGACCCAGAGCAGGGCTCCTCACCTGGACAGGTTCCCCATCACGCCACACCAGGCCTTCTCCATCACTTTCCCAGCGAAGGTGAACTTCCTGACCCACCCATGCCTCTGGGATGGTCAGCTCTACACGGAACCAACAGGTCCACCATCTGCAACAGAACCACTAAGATGAGCCTAGGGGTCAAAGCCCTGTCCTTTCGACATACTTCCTATGATTAAGGGTCAGCAAAGGCTTGAGACTTTCTGCAGAATCTGCAGCACCACAAGATATTCAGCTTTGATCCACAAGAAAGAAACAATGGGCTGTGTAGCAAGGTGAGAGAAGGAGGCAGAGAGTCAGCGGTCTGTGATCTGTCCTAGAGTGCCCTTCCTAAGGGATGTCACTGAGCAGGAAGAAGTGAAGTGTAAATCACTCAGTCGTGTCCGACTCTTTGTGACACCATGGACTGTAGCCCGCCAGGCTCCTCTGTCCGTGGAATTCTCCAGGCAAGAATACTGGAGTAGGTTGCCGTTCCCTTCTCCAGGGGATCTTCCCAACCCAGGGATTGAACCCAAGTCTCTCGCATTGCGGAAGGATTCTTTAACATCTGAGCCACAGGGAAGCCCGTGGGGAGTAGTAGGGAAGAGAAAATTCTTCCATGAAGGCTTGAGGAACCAGGGAGCTATCTCCAGCAGAGGGTGCTGCTCTGCCCTAAGTGACTGTCTAGGGCAGAAAGCCGACAATGGAGGCTTATAGGGGAGTCAAACAAGCTGGGAGGTGGGGCCCAGGGACTCCGCCCTCTCTGGAGCGTTACCCACGTGGGTCCGAAGCTGTCGCCGACCTGCGCCGGGCGGAAGTCCTGCTGGACTGCCTCCTCGTAGGGAAGTCTTTCGGGCGTCAAGAAGCTGGAGAGCTCGGCCACTGGGCAGCTGTGTCCGAAGAGCCTGGGCGGGAGGGGCAGGTGGCGCGCGCTCGTGGGCCAGCCGGCGGGTGGGGATGTGCGTTCCCTCCATCCACCGCCGGGAGGGCTGCCCCACGACACAGTCTCTCCCCACTCCCTCCTCCCGGGCCTCAGCACTATCTGAGGCGGACACTTTGTCCCTCGGCCCACGTGGCCGAAGCTTGGGTTTCCCCCCGGAAGGGAAGGCTAGAGACGCGTGGATGCGGCCGGCGGGTGCCCTGGGCGAGGGGGCCACACCTGCCGCGGAGATTACAATCGGTAAAGTAGAGCGGCGACACGAATTTCTCCACCCGCTCCAGCGTAGTGCGCCAGTGCTTCAGGGCCGGCGCCGCCGCCGCCGCCATCGCCTCGCGCTCGCTCATCTCTCCTCTCTCCTCTCCCCGGAAGGCCCCAGGCGCTGCCGGCGCGATCCTCGGCCTGGAACCAAAGGTTCCGGCGCCGAAAAGGCGCCTTCCAGGCCCGGGCAACTTTCCGTGGAACACCAACGGCTCAGTGAAGCCCCGCTGCTCCGAACTTTGAGCAGCGAGCTGAAAGCTAAAAGCTGCGCTTCTGAGGCTTTACTCTTATCTCTGTCCAAGCTGGTCGCCACTGGGCAAATCCTTAAGTAAAATAGGAAGTCTGACGTTTCGATTCTGAGAAAAGCCTAGGACAGAGACAGACCGAAGGCGCGACTGGTGGGAGCTTGGGTTGCTGCAGATCCAGATCACTGAAGTCTCAGAAGCTACAAGAGGAACCTCCTTGCCTATGGTTCTGTGTCTGCTTAAGGTGGCGCCAGGGACCGGTGCTTTCAAGCTGCCCATTGCCAGAAACTTAAGACTTTGAGACGGCAGATCAAACATAGAATTTATGAGCCTAACAGAATAATGCATTTCTCTATAGGGACTGATGAGTTCAGAGAAGCCATAATACCAGAAACACCTCCAATTTCATCCTCATGTTACTCTGGCAGTCTATTGGCAGCTTTCCCCCACCTCCCTCCTGGGAATGGGATGAAATCTTCCTCTATAAAATCATTAGGAAGAAAAGTATATACACAACATAACGGACCCCTGATGTTTTAATAGAAATACTGACCAAGTTTACAACATTTCAAATGCAAATCGTAGGGAAAGGTGACTTAAGTACAGAATACCAAACATGACTTAAAATATAACTTGCTGCTGTAAGATAGGCTGAGCTGAGCTTGGAGTTCAGATGTCAGAAGGCAGGAGACATAAAAATGCTGTTTGTAAATCCTGGCTGTAGGTGAAGCTCCCTTCTTCTGGTTGCACTAGTAGGATTGGTCCTGAAACCCTATCCTGACCTGCAGGCAGCTGCTCTGGACATAACCCTCTGCAGACACAGCAATAGCTGGGGCTGCCTGGGTCACGTTCAATCAGTTCCCCCTATTAACTCCAAGTCAACAGGATCTTTCTTAAGCAAGCAGATGGGGATGGGTTGAGTTACTGGTGGATAACCTGAAGATCCTACCCAACCCATCAGTATCACTACACCTTCCAAGTGAGGCAGTGCTGCAGCTTCACCAGAATCTCCTCCCACAGCCTTTGCTGCCACCTCACACATGTGAGCTGAGTCTCCTCCTGTAACTGTCCCATCCCTCCACTGCCCCCCTCAACAAGTCTAAAAATCAGATAAGCTTACCATTCGTAAGGAAAGTCCAGAGCAAAAAAAATTGTGGTTTTGTGGTGGTGATATTAGGGATTTTTAATTAAAAAGCAAACAAAACCACACAGGAACACCGTTGTTTACTTTGACTAGAGTAATGGTTGCTGGAGAAAAATTCACCAAAGTCCTGGGAGGGGCTCAGTTGGTGTTTGTTCAGAAAAGTCAGGCTGCCCACATACAAAAATCCTGATCACTCGTTTAAATATCTGCTGCTTTAAATTTACGTAATTAAAAAATATATATACGTATATATTCCATTTGCAGTTGCTAATGTATCAAGTCTTCTCCCTCCTAACCCCATTTATATCACACACTGTGTACACACTTCTTTCAAACACTAGTTTGGTATTTAAGCTGTTCACTCCCATTTCCAATGAGGGGAAGAAAAAATAGAGAAGCACAAACTATACAGCTGCACAACATACCCATATGTAAAATATTTCCAAACAGCTGAAATAAGGGGGTAGAATATATGCCAAAAGAATGAATAATTCTATTTTTAAAATGTGAGATATTTTGATTTGGGACAAGTGCAACTGACTGCCAACTATTTAAAGCAAAATCCTGTTTTTGTACTGTATGTAGATAAGGAACCGAAGCCCAAATCCCTGCTCCACGGTATTCTCTGGTGAGGACAAGGGACTTGTGGTGAGAGTTTATTCCTTAAGTAAGAACCAAGCTTTATTTATTTACAAAAAAAAAAAAAGTTGGGGCAAGAAGGAAGACAAGTTTTACACAAAAGTACTACAACGGTAACTCCCTTTGGTAAAAAGTGTAATAAATGTCTTGTACATCTGTTCATAGGTACTAAATCTGAAGCCACATAGAACTATGGTACACAAGAAGCTAGAGCAGTTATGCTAGCACATCAAAGCATATTTCTTTTAATAAAAAATTGACAGTATGTACATTATTTACAAAAAAAAAAGAAAAACCAAGTTAAAATTGTGTGTGTGTGTGTGTGTGTGTGTGAGTAAAGCTGGTGGATGGCACTAGGGTAGACTAGTAAAGAAGCAGGTACAAAACAGTTCCACGGGAGCTAAAAAGGACGACTGATTTGAACTTGTTGAGGCTGAGAACCAGAGGAGAGAAGAAAGGGTGGGCAGCAAGGTATTCATCAGGAATCAAATCCACAAGATGATCAATCCCAAAGCCAAACTGCAGGTCCCAGAGAAAACCTAATGGGTGATCTAGATGTGCTCAAGTGACCAGGAAAAAAAAAAATCCAATCCAGTTTTTTTTTTTTTCCTTTTTGGGGGGAAGAGGAAAGGAGCAGTGACCATCAGAGTTACAATCCATCTAAGCGATGACTCTTCTCGAGTCTGTCAGTCGATGCTTGCCCATCCAGTCCAGGTGTGAACAGCATCCGGTTCCCTCACCGAAGGTCGCCCCAAGAGGCTCCAGTCTCCACTCTGCTGGTGTGTGCAAGCTGCGTGTCCCTGTGCTTGCATGGGTTTCCTCCCCTCCAGGGCAGGCTAATACCCAAAACCCCTGGGAAAAGTTCCAACTCCGGCTTTGTGAGGGATCACACGTTCCTTATATGCAGCCCACTTGGTGCCAGGTTGCACCAGCCACGCACAGATCAGGTGGCCATGTCCCAGAGAGGCCCAGTGAGGCTTGAAAGGCATCTTCCTTGTTTCTTCAGTGTGTGCGAGTATACGCGCCCCCCCACACACACCACCCCCCTCCAGTTATCTGCTCTGGCTTTGCAGTTATGGGGTTTTGAACACTGTGCCGTATTTGACACGGTACTTGTTAATGCTCACGAAGTGCAGGGTCTCTGTGTCACAGGTGGTGGTGCAGGGCACCAGGCCCTCCAGCCCCTCACCCATAAGCCACTTGCTGGTCTCCGCTGCCATTTCACGGGGCACATGCTCCTTGGTCCATTTATCTACCCAGGCCTGGAACCTCTGATGTAGCCGCTTGCTTACACGCTCATGGGACTGCAAAATAGAACAAAGAAGAAACCACCCATGAACTAGGACTAAAAAACCCTTTAAATACAAAATCCAATTTTCTTCTAAAGTAGCAGAGGAAAGATGTGGGCTCAAGTTGCAGATCATAAAGCCCCCAGAGAAATGCCAACCCAAGGTCTGGTCAGAATTAGCTCAGTGCTTCTCGATTTTAGTCTGCAGCATCACCATGTGGTGGCGTGTTGAGGAAGAAGGTCTTGGGAAAAACGTGTACAGAGTTTCTTGTTTCCATCAATCTGTATTTATAAACCAGCAACTCAGCCGATTCTAATGTACCCTAAGTGAGACAATGAGCTGAGGCTGTTGGTCATTTCTGTCACAGCGTAAGGCAAAGGGTTTAAAACCCACTGTCCCTTCCTGCTATTATCCCACTCTGTCCAGCAGATTGTTGGAAACAGCAGATCTTTAGTGGAGGTTTTTTGTTCCTACCTCCAACATACTTGTTGGTGCCCATAAGCAAGGAAGGGAAGGTGATACAGAGATAAATTAGGTGTTTCCCAGCTCCCTACATCATTTGAATCAGACATGCAGACATATAACATACAGCTCTGAGAGAGTAGCAGATTAAATTGCCCACCCTGTGCTTCCCACTTGAATGTTCAGTAGTCCTTTGATCTGCCTCCCAAACCTGGTAATAACCCTTTCCTGTTAACAGACGTACCCCTAAGCTTCCCAGTTACTCAAGCAAAATAAGCAAAGAAACAAAATCAAAAAACAAAACCCACCAGGTATCATCCTTAATGTTCTCCTTTCTCTTAACCTCCCCACATCCAATCATTAGCACATCCTGACAATTATATCTCCAGTCCTTTTTTGGCACACAGCATGGCATATGGGATCCTAGCTCCCTGACCAGGGATCAAACCCAGGCCTCTTGCATTGGAAGCTCCACGGTCTTAACCACTGGACCACCAGGGAAGTCCCTCCAATCTAATTAAAATCCCTCTACAACCCTAATAGTCTGGGCAGTCATCATATCTCATATGGATGAGAACAGTCTTTTGAGTGGTCTCTGCCCATCCAACTTGGTGCACTTGCTCACTTCCATCAGTCTACATCTTGGTCAATAAAGTCTCAATGTATCTCAAAATCCAAACCACAGCCTGTGAGAATAAGTAATGTGGCCTCTGCCCACCTTTCCAACTTCATGCATCCCACCTTCCCTATGGCTCAAAACACAATGATGTTTATTTTTTAAAGGCCCTGCCATGTGGCATTTGGGATTCTAGTTCCCTGACCAGAGACCGAACTTGCACCCCCTGCATTGGAAGTGTGGAGCCTCAACTACTGGATCACTAAGCAAGTCCCCCACAACTGATGTTAGTTTTTTGAACACGTGAAATCCTTTCCTCCCTCCCAGCCTTGCACTTGCTTGTTTCCTTTGCCTAAAAAGTACTAACCCAACTCTGCACCAGGCTGTATCCTCGTCATTGTACAGGCCTCAGGGTCACCTCCTTAGAGGCCTTCCCAACAAAAGCAGGGCCCTGTGTGCCATTCACCCTTGATCACCTCACCTCGATTCTTTCCTTGGAAATGCACATCATCACACTACCTTACATGCTCTATCTTGTGGCTGTAATCTCGGGGCCTGGCACAATACCTGGTACATAACAGCACTAGGACTTTCACAAGTGAACACATGGGATTCACACAAGGATTCACACATGCAATACTATCGGAAATGTGAATGCTGGGAGTAGCTTCACTAGAAGGTGCCACCAGCTGTTACTAAGTTGTCCCCCGACAAATTCACAAGTGGAAATCCTAACTTCCACTCCTCAGAATGTGACCTTATTTGGAAATAAGGTTGTTGCAGACACAATTAGTTAAGATGAGCTCATACTGTCGGAGGGTGGACCCATAATCCAGTATGGCTGGCGTTCTTTAAAAAGGGGGAAATTTGGACAGACTTGAACTTAGGGAGAATACCATGTAAAAACAAAGGCAGAAATATGCAAGCCCCGCAACGCCGGTGATTGCTGGAAAACCATCAGAGGCTGGAAAGGCAAGAAAGATTTTCCCTCACAGTCCTCAGAAGTTTCGAAGCAACTCTGCCAACACTTCGACTTTGGACTTCCAGCCTCTACAAGTGTTAAGATAGTGAGTTTTTGATGTTAAGTCACACAATCTGTGGTACTTTGTTACAGCATCCTGGTATTGGCTGAGGAGGGAGACGTGTGGAGAAATTCCAAATACTGGTTCTCACCTGATGAGCCCGCAGCAAGGCGGTCCTCCGATACATGTAGTCCTCTGACTTGATCACATATACCATCTTGTAGGAATTCAGCTTGAATCTACACTCCAGTTTATCCAGGCTGTCTGCATTCTCCATGGTCTTCTTGCTGTTTCCTTCCTTCCCTTCCTTTTCCTGCTGCTCTCGACCACGCTGACACTTCCGGATCCGCCGCAGATTCCTACAAAGCAGCAAAGCCCTGCAGCGTGAGAGTTCCTCCAGATGCAGATTCCTATGACTGCCCCCCAATTTTTCTTTATTATATGCCTTCATGAAGCTGATCACAACTACATACATCTAAAAAAATGTTCAATGGTTTCATTGTTAAAAAAATCTTTTTTCAACTGCAGAGATACATGGAATAAAAAGTAGAAATTGCCAACGACCCCCAATTCTGAAAATCCCACTTGCCTTGGCAGGGGTAGCCACTGTTGGCAGTTTGGGTTTTTGGGTATTTTTTAATCTATTTATTTTTGGCTGTGCTAGGTCTTCGTTACTCCATGTGGGCTTTCTCTAGTTGCAGCCAGTGGGGGCTGCTCTCTAGTTGTGGTACGCCGGCTTCTCATTGGGGGGGCTTCTCTTGTTGTGGAGCATGGGCTCAGTATTGGTGGCACATGGGCTTAGTTGCCCCTTGGCATGTGGGATCTTCCTGGACCAGGGATTGAACTACTGTTCCCTGCGTTGGCAGGCGGATTCTTAACCACTGGACCACCAAGGAAGTCCTGCTGTTAGCAGTTTTGGCTTAAAATCTTCTAAGTCTCTCTCAATTTTTCACTTAATGCATAAAGATTTTTTTTTTTTTTCATTTCATTAAACATAGATTTGTGTCATTCTCTTTAACTGCTACAGAGAAATATGTCTTAATTTAACATTTCCTTAACAGGAATCAATCAGGGCTCTTCACCTGAACCACAGAGCACAAAACATTATTCAAATGTCTATTTTTTCAGTTCTCCCAAAGACAGTACATAATCAGTGCCATTCTACATATGAAAAAAGATAATTCACATCAGTGGATGCCTTGGCAGGTATATAGAGCTTAAGCCCCTCAACAACAAGCAGAGAAAGGTTGTCAGCTTGACAATTCTATTGTTTCCTAGACTTTGCTATTAAAAACTGCTTCAATGAATATCTTTGTTCATGTACATTTCCATAGGACAGCAGTTCTTTGGTCCAAGGACTGTTGGAGGGCCCAGGACCTTTTTGAGGAAGTTGTGAGATCAAAACTATTTTTCTTTCTAAAAAAACAAAACAAAACACAAAGTACTAACATTAGCATTAGCGGTATAAAAATAATGGTGATTAAAAAAAAAGCTGGTGGTGGCACCAACCTCCTTAGGCATCTTTGTACTCTTCTCTGGCCACACACTAGCAGTTAAACAAAAAGGAAAGCTGCTCTGATTTAAGAATGTCCTTGTGAAGCAGTAACATTTCTTATGAAATCAAAGCCCCTTATTTCACATCTTTTTAATATGCTGGGTGATGAAATGGGAACTACATACAAAGCACCTCTGTGTGCTAAAGTACAATGGACTCATGAAGGAAAGGACTTGAGCACCACTTGAACTGCAAATGTTCACACTTTTTACCCGAAAGAATAGCTGACTAGCCAGTCTGGGATGTTTGGCAGATATATTCTCAAAAATGAACAACAGAGCCTAGTACCTCAAGGAAAAACAAATGAATGTATTTGTTGTTAAAGATAAAATTTAAGACTTCAAGTAAAATTACGAATTTTGATAAATTGGTACTGGCCAGCATGACAAGTGACAACTTCCCACTACTTAAAGATGTGACTGATGAAGTCAACGGCAATATTAGTAAACGTGGCTTTTTTCAGGGGTGGTATGGAGGTAGGGGTGGGAATATTGTAAAAAGAAAACATGTCAACATTTGGTAGGTCTGCATACCTCAGTGATTTCACATTTTTCAAATAACTGACTGTATGAAGTTATAAAACCATGCAAGAAAAAATTCAAAGTACAAGATAAGCCAATGGATTTTGATAAGCTCATTGATATTTTCATTGATACTGCAGCTAACCTTTAAGAAACTACTACTTGGAGAGTTTTGTTGTCATATCAAATATCTACAATTATCTGAAAGGATATGAAAATACTTCCTTTTCTAGCCAGATTTTCTTCACATAGTACAACCAAACAAAACAGTGCAACAAACAGACTAAATACAGGAGCAGCTATGAGAATCCAGTTGTTATACTAAGCCAGACATGAAACAGATTCACAAAAATGTAGAGCAAAGCCACTCTTTCCACTAATTTGAAGTAGTATTTCATTAAAACACTATTTATGATAATAACACGGAATGCATCTAGTATTTTTTAAAATGAATTCATAAACATTTTGCAGTTTTAATTTCTAAATGTGATAAATATTACTATATATAATTCACATAACTAAGAGCTTTGGGGGGGGGAGGTATCCAATCTCTTAAGAATTTAAGGGTTTCAAAGAAAGACTGAAAAATAACCCCAGCTGTAATAATAGCAAATTATTAAAAACCAAAGGTCCAGGGTAAAGTCTTCTGTATTTTAATTGCTCTGACCTCAGAATGACTGTATCAATATCTCCCCTTAAAGTATGTGAAGGTTGCTCCCCTCATTCCCACACCTGCTAAAATACAGTTTACAAATCTTTTAAGAATTTTGCCAATCTGGTGAGAAATATACAATCTTATGTTTATTCGTACTGTGTCATAAGCATGGAGACTAAATCTGTTTTGTTGAGAAAGGGGCCTGGCACAGAGCAGCTGCTTGAAGTCTGCTAAATAACTCAATGAGTAGAAGAAGCTGGCAGCGTCCTTCTGTTCACACCTCTTTCCACGTTCCAATCAGGAAAGAGTCTAATCACACTATGATAGATAATACCTTTCTGGGCATGTAAGACATGAGATTTCAATTCCCAAACTTTGGGAAAGGAAGAAAGCCGCTCAACTATAGCAAAACCTGTTTTCTACTTCTGAAACTTTGTTTTCATCTTCAGATAGAGGTCGTCCAATATACAGAATTTCCCCATATACAGGGAGGAAATTTCAAAAATTCTGCTAAGAGTAACACAGCCAGCCTAAGACTGCCATCCTTTGAAAATCTTGCTTACAAGGTTGTCCCCTGGGTGGGTTCTGGGACTGTGGATCGTGGGAGAGTTTCCACCATTCTCTAAACACTAGGAGTGCCTCACTTGTACAAAGTAAATGGAAAGCTGAAAACCTGCTTTCCTTCTGGAAGTCTAGAATTTTGGTACAAGTTAGGCAGAGGGTACCCACAGGACTAGCAACCAATAAAAAAAATTCCCGGCCCCAGTTTTCCGGCAGGTTTTTTTGCCGGGCGGCTTTTCAACCTTTTTTTATTTTGTTGTTGGGGGATTTAAGGGTTTTCCTTGTGACTCCAATGGAAGCCACAGACTCTCTAGAAGCTTGCGCCTGCCCTCCTCTGACTTTTGTCACAGGTACCTTCTGACTTTGCTGATTTAGCTGTGTATCCTTTCATTATGGTAAATCATCACTGTGGGTACGACTACATCCTGTGAGTCCTCCCAGTGAATCATCAAACCCTGGAGACTCTGACACGTATTCCTAAAGGGAAGTTATTACTGATTCCTCAATTCTCACCGCCCTGATGCTTGGGCATACGCTCCAGGTAAGAGCATGGTGTAAAAGCCACACAAACCTCAAATCACTGTCTTCAGTAAACAGAACCATAGATAAAATGAAAACCAAGACCCTGAAAGTGAGCTAACCCCTTGTTCCCGGACGCAGAAGTGTCCTGTTGCTGCCACAGGACACGGTTCACTCACCGTGGGAGAAACACTGGCTTCCGTGCCAGGTGCTCACGAAGCTCAGGAGAGGTAGTATCAGAATTCATGTATCGCTCCACGTAGTCTGACCAGCGCTAGAATTGTAAACACAACATGGGTGTGGGGAAGGAACCAAAAACTGAACTCCAACCTCAACAGGTAGGTTAGCAAATTCTGACTGAAATACTTAAATTTCAAGATAAAAAAAAAAATCTCTTCCCATAATGACATGCTTGTTAAGTGGTACTGAAACACAGCTTAGAAAAGCTGTGAGAATGCAAAACTTAAAGCTTCTCTGAGATACTTTAGAGTTATCAGAAGTCATAAATGGTTAGAAGGTAGCTCAGTGACAAGTTTTATTTTCCCACAGAGGGTTCTGTTAAAGAACAAAATGTATAGTGGCAAATGTTTGAAAGTCAGTACCTTTCACATCAAAATCTGAATTTCTGGAACCTTTTCTAAAAAAATATTAAAGATTTGGCAACCATATTCCCATAAAACAACAGTCTCCTCCCCTCCATATGCTGTCAATGTCATATACAATGCTTGCCTCTCTCATTAATATTATCTGCTAGACCCAGCTGTGATAACCAACTCACTCTCTATCTACTCTGTGGGGTTGAACTCCTGGCTCCATCTATCCCAATAGAAAGTAAACATGACACAAAGAATCAAGATGATACTGGGCAGATGGCACCTCATTGTTGTTTCTTATGCTTTAGGAGAAAAACAAAGCTGCCAACCACGAGATTTCCCCTGAGGAGAGGGCTTTACTGAACGCTAGATGAGATTGCCATTAACTCTAAATATTTACCACTAGGCAGTCGAAGACATGGCTGACATGACCTATACTTTTAAGCGCCAGGTCTTGACCCTTAAACAGGCTAACGCTGGCTGGGCTTCTAGTAGACAGTCCCTACGCAGACTCTCAGCACAACACACTCTCAGCACAGTTTCTGCAGTATGTTCATCCATACCTCTGCTTCTACAGGGTCATCCGAGTTCTCCTCTTCTGTGTCCAGAAGCTCAATGGTCAGCTGAACCTGGCCTTGGCTCTGAATGAACATAAGCTGCAAATAAGAAACCTGAGTGTAAACCAAAGACCATCTCCAAAGCTGTAATTAGATTCCCAAGGGTTGAGAGGTGGGGGGAGGCAACAGAGTTGTAAAAAAAATTTTGCTCCAGTTGAAGAGATGAGAAAGATACTCAAAAGCTTAAGAGGTGATTAAAAGGCAAAGGTTGTTCATCTTGCTACCAGCAAAATGAAATGTAAGAGCTTCTTGCTGACATTTCATGTTTCATACTTCTTGAATTAGCTAAAACAGTAATCAATATCAGAAAGAGTGCTCAAAAGTCAGAACCATAAAATGTCAATGCCATTTCACTTGATAATCTCACTTATGGGACTTAATGCAAAGATGTAAACAAGTCTACAGTGCTTTTTTTTTTTTTTTAAAGAAACTTCCCATACCAAACTGAAGTGGAAAACATCAGAGAGCAGCAGTCACATTTTCACCACAATAAAGACTACCCAAGAAATTACACATACCATGGGGTAAGGAATACAAATCATCAACATTAAGAAGTGATCTGTTGCAATGAAACCAATGATATTTGAAATTCTGAGTTTTGTTAATATTATTTGTGTGATTTTTTTTTTTAATTCATATTTAAAAGCAATACACTGATAGGGGCAAAACCAAGTCATGTTTTGCACAAAAGAAGTATCAAGTGGTGATGGCACACAGAGCTCCCCCCGCTGGGAATCCCAGGACTCTCAATGCCCTTATCCTGAGGAACTGCTGCAGATAAATCACTATCAGATTGACCTCTTACCTAACCCCACAGTGATAAGACAACAGACTCTATGCTTTCACTACCTTTAGACCATCAAAGCTTTGCACCTTGTTTTATGTCCCTGGATATACTTCAGTGTCTCCAAGATTACAGTCTGTGGGAACTTGAATAGAATTTGTATCCTACTATGTGAAGACTGTATAAATTTTAAGTATGTTGAATTGGTTGACAGTGCTTTTCAGGTTTACTATATCCTTCTACTTCTCTGTATACTCGTTCTATTAATTTTTGAGAGTTTGACACTGAACTTACCTACTTAAAACATAATTATAATATATAGTGGAACTATATGTAACCTTGTTCTGTATTTTCCAAGCTTCCTGTAAATGTGTTATCATACTTTCATAATTCAAAAAAATTAAAATTAATTGTAAAGAAACTAGCCTCCCAACTAATAAAAATAAATGAAAAAAAAATTAAAAACATAAAAAAGATCACTATCAGAATTACATGGTAAAGATCAGAGATTAAAGAAAGCTTGAGAATCATTTATTTCAACATTCTTCATCTTACATAGGGAAAAACCTAAATTTCTCAAGGCCACACAGCTAGTCAATAAGCAAACAGAACCAGAAACCAGTTTTGGTTCACAGTTCTTCTAGAGCAGCCTTTAAAAACTCCTATTAGCTAAGAAATTTTTTAAAATGACAAGAATATAACATACACACATATAAACATAAACATAGTTTACTTTCAAAATAGATTTGAAAACACCTGTTCCGAGGAGTTTGCTAAAACCTCCTGGATTTAGGATGAATGACCTAGCGTCAAGATCTGTCCTATGGCTGTAAGGAAGCAACCCTTCAAAGTAATACTGAGAAGAGTGTCCTCTACATGCCTAAAACTGAACTCGATTTCACCCCAACTGGCTCCTCACCTGTCTGACAGTATCTTGCCAGGTCCTTTACCATGTGTTCACCCCAACTCTCTGACCTCTGCAATCACTCCAAGGCTTGACTAGCTTTATTATTAGACTGCCCACATCCATCACCCCAATTTGGTAACTGCCTCCAGTTGTAAATATGCCTCGATTTCTCCCCTTCTCCTTACTCAGTGCTACTAAACTGATCTTCCTGAAAGCTCAAATCCAGTGAGCTATTTAGTCCTTAAAAATGCCTCACTGCTCACCAACCACAACAAAATTCACACGTCTTCCTTACTATGGCTATGAAGATCCTCTACCATTTGGACACAACCCTCCTCTCCTTTTTCTACATATCTCTTTTGCTTCATTCAACTAACACAAAGTCAAGTCACTGAATGTTTGTTATTTATCTGTCAGGGGTACACTCAGAAGAGAGCATGGTTTCTTAAGCGCGCACGCGTGTGTGTGTGCACGTGCGTGTGTGCGCGTGCGCGCATGTGCAGTCAATTGTGCTGACTCTTGTGACCCCATGGACTGCAGACCACCAGGCTCCTCTGTCCGTGGAATCCTCCAGGAAAGAATATTGGAGTGGGTTGCCATGCCCTCCTCCAGGGGATTTTTCCAAACAAGGGATCGAATGTGCGTCTCTTACATCCCCTGCATTGGCAAGTTGGTGCTTTACCAGCTGAGCCCCTGGGAAGCCCCAGTTTCTTGCCTGTAGGAGCTTAATTCAGTAAAGGAAAAGGAATACATACAAACAGCTATATTTACATTACAACAAAATAACTACAAAGGTACTATTCTAGAAACAAGAGCAATATGCTTTCCCCGCTCAGTGAATTGAGAAAGATTCCACTTCACTGAAGTGACACTTAGCTGGGCCCTGAGAAACATGACAAAGGGGAAGACCAACCAATTTCAGAGAAATCATAACAAAGAAAATCAAACAAATAAATCATAACAAAAATATTTGAAACAGTACATAAAAAGAACTACAATCCTGCTCCCCCAGAAACGGTGAAGGATGCGAATGTGAGTACGCAATACACAGAAGAGGAAAAATGGGTGACAGTAGGAAACAGGGAAATATGAATTAAAGTATTTTTCTAATCATCTAATTGTCAAAAATGAGCTTGATAATACAGGTGTTATGGAGAAATAAATGCTCTTATCAAAGTGCATACTGGTATACCCTGTCACTTTGGGAGAGAAATGAGAAAGTTTAAATTTTAAAACATGCCTGGGCGTGCATGCTCAGTTGTGTCTGACTCTTTGTGACCCAGTAGAGTGAAGCTCACCAGGCTCCTCTGTCCACGGAATTTTTCAGGAAAGAATACTGGAGTCGGTTGCCATTTCTTCCTCCGGGGAATCTTCCCAACCCAGGAACTAAACCTGTCTCCTGCAGCTTCTGCACTGTTGGGCGGATTCTTCACCACTGCACCAGGCTTCCCTGAGAGCTCAGTTGGGAAAGAATCTGCCTGGAATGCATGAGACCCTGGTTCGATTTCCGAGTTGGGAAGATCCCCTGGAGAAGGGATAGGCTACCCACTCTGGTAGCCTAGTATTCTGGCCTAGAGAATTCTATGAACTGTATAGTCCAAAGAGTCGGATGCAACTGAGGGATTTTCACTTCACTTACCATTGCACCACCTGGGAAGCCCTAAAATATGCATACCTGACCCTTTCAACCCAGTAATTTCATTTCTATGTCTCTACCCTTAACACAACCACATGCACACAAGAATATAAATTGTAAATGCTGTTCAATGAAGCACTATTTGAGATAGTAAAAACGGAAATAGCTTAAAACGTTCACCCATAGGGGAATGGTATTAAAAAAAATAAAACACTATGGCACAGGAAAGTCCCTGGTGGTCCAGTGGTTAGGACTCTGTGCTTTCACAGTTGGGGGCTCAAGTTTGAGCTGTGGTAAGCGAGCTAATACCCTAAAAAAACAAACCACAAAAAACTATGGTACATTCATAGTATTAAGTATGACACAGCAGCTAAAAAACATGAGCTATGTCTACATAAACCAAAATAGAGCAAATTCTAAGACATATTAAGTGGAAAAAAAGCAAGATGTAAAGTACATAGTTTAATTCAAAAATTTATTTCTGCATAAACACATATGTATATATAAGTGCATAGAAAAGGGTTTGAGTGGTTATACGGAGAGTTAAACATGCCTAATTTTTAAAAAGCACTAGAGAATATGCCTAGAAAAAAATGAAGGGAGAGGAAGCTGGAGGTGGGACTGGGTAGGGGATTTGAAGGGCTGCTTATGCTTAGCTTAATGCTTATACTATGGACTTTCATTCTCTACAGAAAACATTTTAAAGGTCACTGTGATGACCTATTCCTGGTTACCAAACCTTCTGCCCCTCTGCTATTCTGACAAATGTGTTATCTACAGGGTGAGTCTACCCATTCCTTCATAGGCCCTCACCACACAATCTATTAACTCACTGTAGGTGGGGGTGGTAATTCTGTCACCATGAAATAAGCACACATTAAACTCAAGATAAACATGTATAGATTTAAAACTATGAAAAGCTTAGGAACTCTCCTCTGTAGTGGGAAAGTCCTCAGGTAGTAGGGCATCACAAACTGTGACTGACTGAGCTAGAAAACGCGTTTCCAGGTCTTTGTTTCTAAATTAAGCCTACAGTAGGCTGAAAGTAGAAGCACACACAGCTAAGCAAACAGCTTGAGGGTCAGATCATTAAAGTACACGGGACATGCTCACTGAGGTTAAACTTTTGTTTGGCTTAGCTCTCTCTGCTTGGCCAACTACAAACCATACTCTGGGCCACCTAAACCTGTCCTTACATTAATACATACAGGCTTTGTTCAACTATAAATATTACACAGCTGCAATAGTAATACACATCATTTTGTGTCCTTTTATTTGCTTCATTATTTTTATTAACATATAATTAACTTTTAAAGAGCTGCAAAATATGCCATCTAGCAGTCACACAATAGGCTGCCATTAACCATTCCCATTAAGGGTTGGACATCTAGATTGTTCCCAGTTTCCAGCTATTTGCTTTTCTAATTAGCTATTACAATGGTGGAAAACTGGAAGCAACCTAAATGTCCAAATAGACGGGTATAATTTTCTATAAAATACTGAACAGTCATAAAAAGGTGCTCAAGACCCAGAGGTGTTGCTAATTGAGCAAAATAAGTTACACAGAATGCTTTGCCCAGTATAATCTCTTTCAAAATACATACAAACACAGAAAAGTTTAGAAATGCCATCAACAATTATTTCTAGGGACAACTGTAGACAACTAGTTTTTCTTTTCTCTACATTTCCTATCTTTTCTACAATGACTATGGATTACATTTTTAAACAATATTCACAAAGCATTTAATACCAAAAAAAAAAAAAGTTCAGAGAAAATGAAAATCATATATAAGAACTGACTTTTTTTTTAAAGGCAAGAAACAGACTGCCTATGAGACTTTACTTTTCCATGTTTTTTATGAGTTCAAAGGAACTCCAAGGCATTCTAGGAGTGGAGACACTGGGTCGAAGCACCCTGGTACAGCTCTGACTTCTGCGGGGTAGAGTCCCAACAGTTTACACTGTCATCAGCATGTTCTCTGACTAAATGAGTAACTCTCACCTTAAAGCAATTTTCATCTGACATGAGCTGCTCAGCTTTCCGCTGATATGTTGACTCCAGGAGGCTCCTTGAAGTCTGTGTGTTCAGCTGGCCTCCTGTGGCCCCATTATTGTTTTCTGCCAGGTACAGGTCAGTCACTTGTACACAGATCTCATCACTCACGATATGCTGCAGCTGGAATCAAGCAAAGGCAAGTCATCAGGAACCAAAAATACAGTTTTACCCATCATACACTCAACCTTCCTTTGGTGGTTCCAATCATTCAGTTAAAAAAAGGGTTTTTTTGGTTGAAAACTTTAGAAAATTAATCGTATAAAATCACTATCTTATTATCTTAGAGAATAACCGAGACAAAATCTTCAGCCATATCATTGGTCCACAAGTAAAATGTTCATATATATTTAAGAGCAAAACCATAGGTAACTCAGGTTAATACGCTACTTATTTAAAGTTCTAGCACTGGTCACTCGGTCCTGTCTGACTCTTTGTGACCCCATGGACTGGAGCCCACCAGGCTCCTCTGTCCATGGAGTTCTCCAGGCAAGAATACTAGAGTGGGTTGTCATTTCCTTCTCCAGGGGATCTTCCCCACCCAGGGACTGAACCTGGGTCTGCCGCATTGCAGACAGATTCTTTACCAACTGAGCCACCAGGGAAGCCATTTAAAGTTCTAAGGTACTTAAAAAAATTTTTTACACGAAAGAAAATTTCTATGGCTTGCTAACCTTTATGGTACTTCTTTACCATTTATAATTTGCTTTCACACATATTCTCATTTGATCCACACCACTACCCTGGGAAGCAGTCTGGACAGGGGTCCAGCCCTGTTATATGTAAGAAAAATTTACATTTTAGACAAATTTACACCTGTGTGCTAAGGTGAGGAGAAGGAAATTGGAGAACCATGAAAACAAGATCCATTCCTATATTCAAAGCCCTGGTACAAAAGTGAAATTCAATAGGCACTGAAGAAGCTGTTGCTGAATTAATCTGTCACTGGCACTCAGCTGAAGGAGCTGAGTCAGAACAAATATTCAAGTTTCTGGACCCCAGGCCAATATTCTTTCTAACACACTCCCTATTTTTCCACATCTGATAATAAAAGCATAGTATGTAAATTTTATGCAAATGAACTCATTTTCAATACATGTCAGTCATGATGGACTAATGATAACTTATTAAACTCTTATTAAACTCTCTGATGACTAGCAAGTTGAACCCTTCAGAGATTCCATTCTTATAGGTCATGATGATATCATCTATCATAAAATAAAAATTCCTTCAAATGAAATTTTACCCCTTAAAATGCCACAGGATGTGAAAAACAGATAAGAAGAAAGCAAAACGTTAATTGCAATAACAATTTATCTATTTTACTTTAAAATTCTCATAACCACTAAGCCATTCTATTTTTAGGAAGATACACTCTTTTTGAAGCACTAGTAACTATGACAACTACTTATTTTTAACATTTGAAAAAGTCTTAAATGACAAGTATGTGTATTTGTAGATAAATGGACAAAATGTAAGGTCAGACGGTGAGTGACCTGATGGTGGTAGAAAGGCCAGCAACTGGAAATGGTTAAATTACAATTAGGCCATACACAGCTTTTAATGTAACTGTTAAAACAACGCTTATAACTTGAAAATACAGGGGAAAGCTTAAAACACAGTGTTTAAGAGAAAAAAGCAGTGTAAAAAAAAGTATACAAAGCATGGTCTCTACTATGTAGATACATCTTTATACTTTCCTGGTAAAGGTCACCGACTCCTTCCACACCCTCTTCTTGGATTTCTGGCCACACCCAGTCTTTGGAAAGGGTAGCATTATAAATCTAGGCACAACTAGGCAACTCCCAACCCAATGCTAGGCTTGTCAGATTCTCTCTCCTACTAAACTGAAATGACACAATGAGTGTGTCTGGTAGACAGACATTTTACAGAGGAGCACCTGGATTGGAAAGGTTGGTAATAGCTTTCCAGCGCTGAAAACACTCAGGGGGCCGGATGTTCATCTGCAGAGAGAAGCATGAGGATGGGGACATGTCCAGAAAAGAGGCATGCCAGAGTTAACCTTCCCAGGCTAGTCCCTACCTGGTCTGGCCATACTTTCAGCCCCACACTAGACATATGTGAGACTGCCTACATTATTCTTGAGCAAACCTGTATTAAACTAGTCTGGAAAAGTAAGCTAAATATATGGTTTGACCCTGCAATGTATATTCCATCTCCAGTCAATAATGAACTCTGGGAGAACAGCAAAGGATTTAAGGAGAAATGTTATGCCTCCAATTCAGGAGTTAAGCCGAGAAGCTTAAATGTATGTTTTTAAAACACTAGATTTGGATTTCCAGATACAATCTGTCTCCATAAAAAAAAGACTGGACCTTACTTATTACTGACTCAAAATTAATCACTAATCTATTGTTTAAAAAACCAACTGTGGGCTTACAAAAAAAAAAAAAGCTGGTAGTATTGGATTTTTAAAGTTGAGCACTTGATAGTATGACTTTACTTCTAGCTACAGCAACAGCAAACTTGTAAACAGAAATATAAGTACATGTTATGGTAAGTGGACTCTTTTATATAAATTTAGGGAATATTAATAGGCATTAGTCTCTCAAAAATTATGACCATAGCTGATTACATCCATGTAAAGATTTCTGTCTGTCAACATAAAGACCCCTTAAGGGAAGGCCTAATAACTGCTTCAACTTGCAGCTCCCTCCCTGACAACTTCTGTGAAGATGCCAAGATTCAGTTATTCCTTGACTTTGAGTAGATCCTCCGAGAGGGGTGCAAAGCCACACATCCTTCTAAACTCAAGACAAAAGCAAGAGTACCTCACAAAGGATTCCTTTGTGATTTTACCTAAGGAACGCACTTTCCACTTTAAAAGAAAAAAGTGGGACTTCCCTGGTGGGGCAGTGAATAGGAATCTGCCTGCCAACACAGGGGACACAGGTTCAATCCCTGGTCCGGGAAGATTCCATGTGCCTCAGAGCAACTAAGCCCGTGTGCCCTAGAGTGCGTGCTCTGCAACAAGAGAAGCCACTGCAATGAGAAGCCTGATCACCGCAATGAATAGCAGCCGCCCCCCCCCCCCCGCTTGCCATAACGAAAGAAAGCTCATGTGCAGCAACAAAGACCCATTGCAACCAAAAATAAATTCACTAATTAAAGAAAAAAGAGCACTAACAACAGACTGATACCTTTGAGAACTCAGAACAAAAGGCAAAGGAATGGAAACCTATTACATGTTATTTGCTATAAAATTATCATTGTTGTAAAGAACAACATATCTACAAACTCCCAGGGTACCCCAAGAATAAACCACAAAACCAACTACAAACCTAACTCAGAGGGGAGTCTCAGATAGTGAGGCAGACAGAGTATTATAAAAGATGTTATAGAAAACCTCTCCTGTAAAAAGAACTTCAAATGTTAAATGAGGAAAGTCCATAGAATTACCAACACCTATTCAGACAGTAAAAAAAAAATCAACCTGCAATGCGGGAGACCAGGTTTTGATCCCTGGGTGAGGAAGATCCCCTGGAGAAGGAAATGGCAACCCACTCCAGTATTCTTGCCTGGAGAATTCCAGGGACAGAGGAGCCTGGCAGGCCACAGTCCATGGGGTCACAGAGTCAGACAGGACTGAGTGACTAACACTTCCACTTTTCAGAGAAGAGGAAACAGCTCACACCGGGTACGTGACCTAGGAGCTGGGAAGGTAGGACGGGAGCTGGGGGCAAAACCTCACGGCTGAGGTAGGCTCCTCCTCCCAGGGCACACTGCGCAAAGCAGTCGATCACACGGCTGAAGCCCTCCCACTCCATTAACAGGAGAAACGCGACATCACATTAATCTCTCCCTCCCCTCTACAGAACCACGTGTTTGTTAACATTATCACATGAGAAAACTGCCTGCCCGTTCCCCAAAGAAAACTCGCCCCGTCTCTTTCCTGACCCACCTGCAGATGAGGACTGTCTCCCTCCCCAACCCTTGCCCGCACCACACCCTCACCTGTCTGACAATGCTCTGGATGAGTTTGTCCATGGTAAAGGCAATGTAGGCATGAATGGTGAACATCTCTCTCAGCGAATCTTCATACTGGGACGAGTCTATGTTGCCATCCAGCAGGCTCCGCACCATGTCCAGGAAAGCTGGGTAATAATCTTCTACATCAACGTCCACTGTGGGAAAGAGGGGAGAGGTGAGGCCTTACCCTGCTAAAAGATGGAAGAGAGGGCAGGGCAAATCCCACAGCTGGCCTGAAAAGCACTCGACAGAACAAACCCTTAGTATTCAGTGTGCTGCAGACAGATGAGATCTGACAGGTGGCCACAACCCCAGCACTGTCTATCAAAGGAGAGTGACGCTGCAATTTCAACAGCAGCTTCTAACCCTCTGACTGACCAAAACACTTATTTACAGTATGGCCTGGCAATGCGTGACAGGAGAGCAAAATATCCCAGGGAAGAAGTTTCTTCAAAAAGCTGTCAGCTCCCTGCTAGGAGAGGAGCCTGCAAAGGGAGTGTCCCCCACATGGGTCGCTTGCTCAAACAGCTATTTCAACGAAGCATAAAGGGCTGAAGAGAAAAGGCAGACAGAACCAAACACTAGCACTGAGAAACCTCTCAGGAATAGGAAACTAGGAGGGCAGATTAAATCCTTTATGAATAATGAAGTATCTGCATTTGTCAAAGTCCTTTTGTTTAAAAGTGGATTCCCAACATTGTACTTCACAAATTACATCTAATGACCTATACTTGCTGCGTATGAATCACCTCAACCACCAGAGAGAAACCCTATCAGTTGTTACAGAGACATCTGGCAACTAACAGAGTGCACAAGGAAAGGTGAAAGGACTCCACCTTTAGCTTACTAAAATAAGACCTATTTACATGAAGCTGAAAAACTGGCAAATCTCATCTCCAGTGCTGGCAATTCAGACAGCAGTGCAAGGGGGCTACTGGTTATGTTGTTTCCTGATCTGGGTGCTGGTCACACAGGTGTATTTGCTTTGTAAAAATCACTGAGTTACACAATTCTGTATGTGTGTTGTATTTCAACAAAAAGTTCACTATAATGAGAAAAAATTACAAAGAGAACTCTTTGTCTTTGACATTTAGCTACCTCTTTATAAAGTTTGTACGGGGGTGGGGGGGAACGCTCTGAGAGCAAAAGTTGAGTCCACTTCCATTTATTTGAAGTGTGACAGATTCATTCAAGACAGGCAAAACAGGACAACTACTATTCAAGAGAAGCAACTGGCTTGAGTTTCCTGACAGAACATTACCTTGTTCAGATTCACAGCAGAGGCATGGGCTGTGCTATTACTGTGAAAAATGCTCTCACATGAGTATAAAGCTATGCGTTCTACCGGTGCAAACCATGTGAGCCGGAGGCTTGGCATTATTACTGAAGAATGAACTGTTAGCCTCAAAAATCAGGTTAAGTCAATGGTCAAGCCAAGATCAGGTCATCTTTCTCATTTCTACGCAAGCAGAGGGAATCACCACACTGAAGTCTAAAATATGTCTCTCTCAAGCTAGGATTAATCCAGATAAAGGCTTTTAGAATTAATTTCCAAGGTCATCAGCTCTCCAATAGATAGATGGCCAGGGCTTCACATGGGCTTCTTACATTATTAACAGTTTTTAAAAACAGAGATAATTCACTCCAAAAAGGGGTTATTTCCTAAAGAACGCACAAGAAGCTTTCACAGAAGAGCTTTGGCTAACAGTTTAAGTACCTAACTTATAACCTGAAGGGAGATGTAGAAGCAAGCAGCACAGAATCACATACAGCATGTGGAGGCTTCTTTAACCTTCACTTATTTTCCTTTTTCTGAGTTTTCTATCTTCATTTCTGTTCTGCTGTCTCAAACCATCTCCTGAGTCCCCATCTCCTTTTTTGCAATTGTCTAAGGCACGAACAGTTGTTCTGTCATGGAGTGGAACCAACTATGATGCTTCAGTCATTCTCTGTCCTTTCAAAGAGAGACCTTCCATTTGGGAAACTGATGACGGTAACTGACACCCACTTCCTTGGTGTCCACAGTACCAGCTACTAAGGATCTATGATCTAAGCAAGGCATAGGGTGCTTTGCGTATTTTCCCCAATTCTCCCAGCAGCCCCACAAGATAACAAGTAGCACCTCCAGTTTACAGATAAACAGGTTCAGAGAGTTTAAGTAAGGTCACACAACCAATAAATTGCAGTGCTAGGATTTGAACCCAGCCAGCCTCTAAGGACTGCCTGTGCTCTATGCATTAACATAAAAGAAAGCAATCCTGAGTCTAACTAGGTCCTGCATCCCCGAGCTCTCACACCTTCTGCAGAACACAACCCTAGCACTCACTAGGTTCTTTGAGACGCAGCTGGATGGCAGGGCTGTCACTCTTGTCTCGCTTGATGCCCAGCACTTCCCGTTCCCACTCTCTTTCTCGGTTTTCTTCTTCAATTTGCCGTTCAGCTTGGGAACAGATCCGCAGCAGCCTCAAGCAGAGTATCTGGTGCAGCCGCATAAAGATATACCAGTTATTATTAACATAGAAGAGGTTGTACACTTCATCCATCCCTCTTAACTTCTGAGCTGCTGTGTTACTAAACAGTAGCTTGGACTTAGGGGGACTGCCCCCAACACCATTGTGCTTCTTAGCCGTCCCTGTGGCTTCATCTACATCCATCTCTTCTTCTTCCTCTTCCTCCACATCTGAGAGATCACCTCTCTGAGCAAAGAGCAGATCTGGAATAAAATGATGCATGATTTGCTTGATTTTATATTTATCTTCCTTCTGAATGCCTGTCTGCCTCTTCACGTGGTGGATAATCAGAGCAGCAGCATCTTCCAGAATCTGTTTGTCTTCATAGGCAAGTGAAAGGTGTGGGCCAACAGGTACACCAGCATTTTCTTCTGTAGCCTGCTCTTGCCTCTACCAGGAGAGAGAGAGAAACAAAGTATTATGTGACAGCTACAAAAGCAACAAACAGACCTCCGAGAATACGCCAGTAGTACATTCTATTAACCATAATGGCCACTATTTTCCAATCAAAAACTTCCAGAAACAAGAAGATAATGTGCAAGATGTGGTTTGATACCAAAATGACTGGAGGTACCATGACTGGCACCTCCCAGACACTGAGACTTTTAAAAGACAATAGGAAAGAAAGGGGACCATCTTCTAAAATTTTACATTAGTACTTATGGAGGACACGATATGAGGTTTAAATTTCCTTTAACATACTTCTGGGAAAAAATAAATAAATAAAATACTTCTGGGAGTGAGGAAGGTGGCAGATAAAACTGGTAAGACAGAGAGGAAATTAAATTTATGTCAGTTCATTTTACTGTTCACTCCCTTTTTATGTATGCTTGATATTTTCATAATAAAGTTTAAAATTCAAGATCATACCACTTCTAGAAATTCTCAATCATACTCTATTTGTTTCTATCCATCCCCTAAGACTGTGAGCTCAAAGAAAGAAAGATTAATTTCTTATTCATCTCTGTATTCTAGCTCCCAGTACTCTACATAATCCTGAAGGATGCCGAATAAACAAGGATTAGAAACAGTCTGGGGGCAATTCTCTGGCAGTCCAGTGGTTAAGACTCCACGCTCTCGGTGCCAAAGGCCTGGGTTCAGTCCCTGGTGGGGGAACTTAAATCCCACAAGCCATACAGCAGGGTCAAAAACAAAGAAAGAAAGAGTGTGGGGATTGAAGATAGTATTTTAAGTTGTGGAAAGTTGAGATAGGCTACAAGAAGGAATATAAGGTACTGCTGGAAGGAAATATGGAGAGAAGTGGAAGAGGGTGGCACTGGGCATGAACTATAACCAGGATGGAAAACTGGAAAACCAGTAAAACAGCTTAGTGAGACTTAGATTTAAAATGGTAGAAGAACTGGGAATAGAAGTCTATCCTACGAAGTAATAATCAACAAACCTTGGAGGGTCTCATGCTCATATAACAAAGATAATTTGCAGGAGTCAAAGCGATGCTGAGCATATACTGGAGACTTCTCACAAATGTTGAGACTCCCAACTCACCTCATCATAGATACTCTCAATCTCGTTGAGTAAGCTCTTGGACCTCAGGACCTTGGTGTCATTTTGTTTAAAGTTGATGCCTTGGTGGTCCAGAGATTTCAAGTAGTATTTCTCATTTTGCTCTCTCCACACCTTGTTAAAGCCTCTCTGAGCTTCTCGCCATTCTTCCTCTTTCATCTTCAACCTAGCAGGGTAGAGGGTGGAAAAAGAAAGACACGGGAGTCCAGAGGAGGGAATCTTAAGGCAAGGAGTCATATTAGAATCGCAGACTGGAATCCCGACTCTGCCACAATAGCCATGTAAGACTGCTTCCTTATCCGTAAAAAGGGGATAACAGCACTTCATCTCACAAGGATTTAGAAGTAAGAAATATGTCAGGTTTACTTTATTTCAAAGGTCAAAAGGTATCCAGATTTGTCAAATCTGTTGGCAACTTTGGGGTAAATTTATTCAAACCAGTCAAACTCTGATACATGAGAAAACTACTCATTCAGGACTTACTATGGGGAAGTAATTTATTCCAAAGTCAGAAATCTTGTTAAGAACAGTTATTTCTCAAACAACATTCCACAGAATACCCTAGAAAAGTAGATTCTCTTCCATGGCCAGCTAAAACAAAGTGAAACAAGTTTCTTTACTATAGGACTTCTGAGAATGTTTATTATCCTAATGTAAATGCAAATGTCCAAGAGCAGAGAACTTGTACAACAAGGCTCCTCTGGACAGAGATTGGAAGTTCCAATGAAAACAACTGACTCTGATCCTCTGGAAGAGAGGAGAATAAAATCAAAACCAGCACTAGAACTGAAGGATATCCTCCACCTCGAAGACAAAAGTTAAATGCTACTGGCAGGAAAATAAACACCTTCTGCCAGCTCTTGAGAGGAAGACTGGGGAGGAACAAGAAAATCTGGGCACGTGTGAACTGTGGAGTGGATAAGTTTTCAGCAGGTGATACAAAGGGAGGACCAGATTTATAGTAGAGCACAGAGCGCCATGGACTTCGAGGAGCCTGGCGCTCAGCCCTGGCCTCCTCCTTGATACCTACAGCCTTATTTAGGTGGGTTCAACGGCCCCTCTATACCTTGGTTTGAAGGTTGGTTAGGAGAAAGAAGGAGAAAGAAGACATTCTTGGATTTTTATGGGACGCTAAGGCTTTTTAAGTAACATATCAATTTTATAGAGACAGAGTGATTTTTCTTATTAAAAAACAAAAGATGTGAACATCAGTTAGTACTGAGTGGCAAGAACGTGGGTGGCTGTTTTCTTCTTTGTTCTCTATTTTAAAATATCCCCCTAAACATACAGAGCATTCCAGTATGGACTGGAAAGGTTTGTTCTCTGCTGTTGGTGACACAGAACCCCATCAAGAAGCTCCACTATCCCACACTATTCACCTGACCTCCTACAGCTGAGGTTGGGGAGAAATGGATGTCTCATGGAATAACTGGGCCGAAAAGGAGAACCTTATTTAATGGGACACTAAATCTGTTGAGAAGCACACTAAAACATGAAGGGCAGGTGCACTCAGGTACCTTTTAAGGACAATTGGGACGGCAATGGAAGGGTTCTTCCTCAGACCATCAATGATGTCAGCTGCTTTGTCAGCATATATCCTTTGGAGTGCTTTTCGGTGGATGACTTCCGATGTGCCCCCGAGGGTGTTGTCCAAGCGAAATTTGGCTTGTTCTTCAGCAGACAAGCGGGAAAGTTTCTTCTGTATTGCTTCCAGAACCCGGATAGTTGCCAGATTGGTCTCTAAAACTACATCAAGCTAAAAAGAAAAAAAAAAGACAAAGGATGCTCAGGACCCAAACCAGAACAGAACAGCTGTCCGGAGTAGAAGGTAGAAGTCAAACTTCCTGGATTTGAATCTGGACTCTGCCATACCATGGCCAAATAAAACTGTTAGTTTATCAGTAAAACAGGAATACCACCACCTATTCTCACAAGGTTGTGTTCTGTATTTACCAATACAACCCACATAAAGGATTCAGCACAATACCAGATACACAGCAAACATCCAAACCCTGAATATTCATTGAAAGGACTGATGATGAAACTGAAGCTCTAAAACTTTGGCCACCTGATGCGAACAGCTGACTCACTGGAAAAGACTCTGATGCTGGGAAACATTGAGAGCAGGAGGAGAAAGGGGGCAACAGAGAATGAGATGGTTGGATGGCATCACCGACTCAATGGACACGAATTTGAGCAAATTCAGGGAGGTAAGTGAAGGACAGGGAAGTCTGATGTGCTGCAGTCCACGGGGTCACTAAGAGTCGTCTTAGCAACAGAACAACAACAACAAAGTAGTAGTTAATACTTCTAGCACCCCCAATGTGGTTTATTAAGGACTACTGGCCCCCACGCCAGAGGGACCTAAGAGGAGGCAACCTTACTGGCAGTTTTCCCTGAACTTTTGTGAATTACTCAGATCTGTTACAAACAATAACAATCACTACTACCAAATCCCAAAAAGACCATTCAAGATAGTAAATCAATCTCATAAGTTTTTCAGAGTAACTTAAAATGTTTAAATGTTTAACGTCTTGTTCCACATCTACTAATAATAAGAGCATTCCTTGAGGGCTTCAATGTTGTATCTGTGCGTAACCATTTAAATTCTCACTGAATATTCCCTAACCTGGTTAAAGACATGACTAGCAACCTTGAGTTAACTTTTTTCCAAAGCTTAACACAAAATTTTCTAGATGAGAAACAGAAAATAAAGGAAATGAGCAGTCTCAAGGGTCTATGACTCTGTATAAGTGTTTCCTAATTTTCTAGTTTGAGGACTACTGTAGTCGTTTTGTCAAAAATTTTAATGCCCATTTTCCCCACTGATGATAAATGATGGCTTGGACTTCCTGGCTGCCTTGAGATTAGCTAAGGCCATGTAACTAGTTCTGGCCTATGAGCTGTTAACAGGTGAGTCAAAGTAACATCCATTACTTCTAGGCTAGAACATTTAAGGGTGCAAGATCCATCTGAGCTCTTCCCCTATAGTCACTGGCACTGTTCATGATGGTGGCACTCTGCCAGCCCAGGTCCCCAAGCAATTCTGGTGAGTGGAATCTTCGGCTGAACATCAATGCGCATGCAGTATGACGAGGAAATAAATCTGTCTTTTTCAAGTCAATGGGATTTAGGGGTTGACTGTATTGCAGGAATATTAACCAATCCTGATGTACAAAGGATTCAAATTAGTCTAACCCATCCAATCCTCAACACGTACATGTGCATACAGACACACATTTCTTTCATCCTCACTACTGCAATAACAAGCAGGAAATGAGGCTGATGCCTCTCATCTGCTGGCATACTAGCTGAGAATAAGAATATCCTGTCAAAAACAGGCATCAATCTCTGCTAACACATCACTGAAACTGACTAAAGATAGGTTAAAAAAAAAGAAATGCTTTCTTCAGCTTGATAAAACTTTCCATAGAAATTAACATCTGTCATGGCTGAGTTTTCTGCAAATGGTTGAAGCTCCTCATAAACACTGGGGCCCAGCGGACCAACCAACATGTGGCTCTTCATTCAAACATGCCAGAAACAGGGGAAAAAGTGTGAAGGGGGATAATTGGCAGAGAGCTAAATCAGTATGGGTTAAAAAAGGGGCAAAACATCTCCCACCCATAGGAAGAGCAGGGACAGTCGGTTTTATATAATAAATACGTTAAAAAGGAGGCATGTAATTTTCCTTCTCTGGACACATTTAACATTCCCTTTTTGTTGATATCAGCAAACCAGACACTGGGAACTGAGTCTGTTTCCAGTACTTCCCACTCCTGGTATCAGGGCTATCAACCAGCCCATTTCTTCACTCCAGCTCTTCCCTTCCCAACTACTTTAAAATGAAGTCCCTAACTCAACTTTCTTTCAAAAGGAGACAAATCAACACCAGAAATATGACAGAAGAGTTCCAGTTCTCATAGGAGCACTGGTTTGCTAACCATGTTAGTAAGATACCTGCTAAAAATAATATATACTTTAAGTAATTTAAAATAGCTGCAAGAAAGCCCACTAGGTCTTAAGATACTGATTTTAAATACTATGTAGCACACAATAACCTTTAAAATGCCATTAAAAATTCAAAGGAGTATTATTCAGCAAATGGAGTAAAAATCCCATTATTTATTATTTTAATTTCAGTTAAAAGGGCTAAAGTGGCCTAGATAAGTCACATTTGTCATGAAAATATTACTAGCATATCTGACAAAGTCATAAAACATGGTAAATACAACAAGCATTTACCACAGAAGAATATGAGCCTCTTGCTCTTTGGTCTTAAAAGCCAGTCCTCTCAGGTTGGTATTTAAGATATCCTGTCTTTCCAAATCTCTCATTTCCCCAAACTTCAAATGATAAAGGAGCTTGTACCTCAAAACGTTCATCTTCACAACGATAGATATGTTCTTCATACTGAGTTTTCTTGGAACTAACAAAGGTGGAGTCCTCAGACCAGGAGGGGAAGGAAACCCAAGTATCATTTAAAACCTTTGGGTAAAAGAAAATAAATTGAAACAAAAGTGTAACAAAGTGTCCTGGTGATTAAGCTTTCTCAATTAAAAAAGAAAACTTTAGGGGAGGGAAGAAACAGTTAACATTACAAGTTTCACCTGTAGCAAGTTTAAAAAGATAGTTAGAAAAAGGTTCTCAATATAAGTACAAAACACTTTCTTTTGAAAAAAGACAGAAAAGGATTTTGATTTCCTCGTCGTAAAAGACAGAAAAGGATTTTGATTTCCTCGTCGTATGCATTCTCCATTCCAGGTACTACTCCCTTCTGGAGGAAGCTGAGGACTCAGGGTTGATACCTTCCCTGGAAGGCCTTACCTCTTTACAGAGAGGAGTCCGTCCCGTACACTTGGGCTGCTGGTAACTCTTTGGTAGGGCTCGATAGCTGGAGCCCAACCGTTTACAAGAGGCATAATCTATCTCCATGGCAATGCCCTCTGTGGCCCGTTCCTTTGGAAAGGTTTCCAGATGTACAGACTCCTTATAGCCCAGGAAGTTTTTAAACCAATTAAACAATTCTGGGAATTTCCTAAAGAATCAAACCAAAAACTGGTGAGCAAGTAGAAGCATTATGCAGTAATGCTGAGGTGTGACTACCATTTGATATAGAGTCAGAACTCTGCTATCATTGGACAAATTCCAGTGACAATTATCACTTCTTACCTAAGAAGTACTGCTTTTAAATACCTGGCTTCTCCTTTTCTTAAAGAGTGCTCTAAGATCAGTTAAGGCAGTGACACAAGAACTGTACCGAAACAAGGCGAGAACCAGCCATCCTTCTAATCAGAATATTGTTTCAAAGTTCAGATAATTCTTTGGTTGTCAAAGTCAAGATTCTAGAACCCTGGAAGAGACTGGTCTATGTAAAACATCCAACATTGGTCAGGGGATCAGGAGACCACTAGTCTTGGCCAACACGCCGTCTGCCAATTTTTTCATTTCCAAAGTTGAACTAGAAGACTTTGCAGAGGACTCTCTTAGCACTAACATTTTATGAGTCAACTGACCCACCACAATCAAATTAATTTTGTCTATCATATACTCCCACAAACTAAGTTTTATATCACATCCATGTCATGCATCAGGGCCAAGCTCCTGATTCCACTTACCCCAGGAATGGAGAGACTAACTGAACAAGCTCTGCCCGAGAGATCACCTCCTGGTTAAAGATAACAAGACAGCGCAGGAAATTTTCATAGGCCTCTGCACTCCGCAGAGCCTTTCGGACCTTATGGAGACAACCGAAAGAAAAATAATTAACTGAGAAATCAAGAGATCCTGGATCGCTTTTAAAAGCCTAGGGAGACTTGAACTGTTATCTGACGATATTAAGAATCAATTTTGGTTTTTTCAGATGTGTTAATGCTTATGTTTGAAAAAAAGGAAACTTAGGGACTTTCCTGGTGGTCCAGTGGCTAAGACTCTGCGCTCCCAATGAAGGAAGACCAGGTTCGATTCCTGATCAGGGAACTAGATCCCATGTGCCACAACTAAGACCAGGCATAGCCAAATAAACAAATATTTAAAAAAGAAAGAAAACTTAGTAAAATACTTATTGGTGAAACAATTTATTATCCGAGACTTGTCTTCAAATAATCTGGGGTAGGTGAGAGTACACGTGAAACAAGCACATCAGCTAGGAGCTGAGACCTGCTGAGGCTGGACAACAGGTCCATGCGGTGCCATTGTACCATTCTCTTTAATTTCACATATTTAAAAATGCCTATAATAAAAATTCTGAAAAAAGAGATCCTGGAGTAAATAAGACATTTACTTCTCACAAGCCTGATTCTCTGAACCATGAGTGTTGCCCAAGTTTTTGTTGCTTCTCCTAATGGATGTTTATAGACTCTTTTCAACACTCTTCAAACTCTAGTAATTCTGACTAATAACCTTTTAAAATAAGGTACTTTTGTCCTCTGACTTGACCTGTTTCCTTTCTCCATTTCTCCTTTCTTTACAGTGCTGAGAATTTTAATAACCCAAACACTAATCATTTCCCTGAATTATCAAGCGAACTCCAGACTTTTTTTAGTGCGTCTAAGAAATAATACCTTGAAAACAACAACAACGAACACCATCACTATTTTAAAAATTAACTTGTTCAGTCCCCCTCCCTCACCCTTTTCTTGCCATCTTTTGGCTGTGACCTGGACTTTTACATTTGCCTCAAAAGCACCAAGTGCCCAGGCAGCCCTCAGAAAAGATTCAGATCAGAGCCATGGACCCAGGAGGCACCAATCATGGAGATGCTAAATCATTTGCCCTTTTGCAAAAACCCAGAGGTGCAGGACTTTCCTGGTGGCTCAGTGGTAAAGAATCTGCCTGCCAGTGCAGGAAACATGGTTCAATCCATAGTCTGGGAAGATCCCACATGGCTCAGAGAAACTAAGCCTGTGAGCCACAAGTACTGAGCTCACACACTCTGGGGCTAGTGCTCCAAAACAAGAGAAGCCATGGCAATGAGAAGCCCATGCATCGAAACTAGAGAGTAGTCCTTGCTCATAATTAAAGAAAAGCCCTTATGAAAACAAAGACCCAACACAACCAAAACTTTAAAAAAAAAAAAAAAAAAATCACCTGGGGAATATTGACAACATACAATTAAATCAGAATTCCCATGAATCAATATTTAATACAAATAAGTTTCACAAGTACTGAGGTTACAAGTCATTTTAAGTCCTCAACAATTGGTGTACTGACATGCCTCACTATATACACCTGGGTATCTATAATAGGAGCGCAATAGTTTTAGAGAGTAATATCAAGCACTTCTTGTAAAGCTTTTTTCCACAGGGAAAACTGCTATATTTTGCTGCAAACTATTTCACAAAATTAAAGCAAACGGTGCTACCATTTCTCTAGTTGTGCTAACAGTTCTCAAAGATGGCAAAGACCTACAATTTGAAATCTACATTAGAAAGTACAAGGTCCTAACCAGCTTGATGCCTCTAAAACAAAATCTTCTTGGGGACAAGGTGATTTTCTCTGGGCATTAGTAGCCAATATTAGGACTCTTCCAATTTGACGCATTGTCTTTCAAAGTGATGCAGGGCTTCCCAGGTGGTGCTAGTGGTAAACAACCCACCTGCCAATGCAGGAGACATGAGAGACACGGGTTCAATCAAATCCAATTTATTCATTACTCACCTTATCAAAAAATAATGATTCCGTTCCTACACCATGCTTGCTGGCGTCTGCCATAGAAGAATCTTTGAGGCTGAGCAATTTGGGTTTCTTCTGTAAAAAAGGAAAAATATAAACATGTAAGATTCAAAGAGAGGGTTTCACTGGGCTTTATGTTATTTTCTGTTTTTGCTTTTTTGGCCGTGCCCTTTAGTGTGGGATCTTTGTTCCCCGACCAGAGATTGAACCTGGGCTTCCGGCAGTGAGAGGGCAGAATCCTAACCAATGAATTGCCAGGGAATCCCCTGAGTTTTATTATCATCTCTGTTCTCAGGTTCCATCACTGACCACCACTGATTAATAATTTGCAACAAATCAGAGAATTCAAGTCACTAACTTGCTTTACATCTTAAAAGATTTCCACTCATCTTCCCTAGTTTTTCAGATTGCCTGTCATTTCCCCTCAGAGGTTCACAGGTCATTCTACTTGCCAAGAACTCTTTCCATAAATGGTCACAGCATTACTGTGATGTTAGAATATCCTTACTTTTTTCCATGGGCTAAAAGTAACTTTATTAGGAACCAAATGCTATTGTTTTATTTTCCTAGCTGTGGAGGCAGAAGAGGCTATAAAAATATCTGGAATACACAGTAATCAATCTTTAACCTTTACCTTTAAATGGTTCTACTGAAAAAAATCATGGAAAAAAAAGTTTATTTTCCTAACAGAAGGAATAACTACCTTGTCAGTAATATCCATTCAGACCAATTTAAGATTGCTCTTTTAAAGCAAATGAATGGGTCATACATAACTCCAGGCAGAAAATTTACTATAAAGAAATCACCTCTCAAATGCCTGTGAAGAAATGCACATTCTGGGAAAAGCAGCACATTTACCTTTGTAACTATGGACTGCATTCTCTTAGGAGTCACAGCCTCTGCCTATACTGCCTGAGGAAAAGGCAGACAGGGAATCCTAACCTCCCAATATAGGATTTCCACCTGCGAGTAATCAAGTGTGGGAGGAGACCAAGATTGGCGCCTATCTGCTGACCTGATTCTTGCTACTCGAATTAGTAAAATTCCTTACTAAAGTGAAGAAACATACACGATTACTATGTTCAGCTGGCTTTCAAAACGAGAAACCATTACAAACATTGAAAAATAGTTCAACAGTCCTTCCAAAGTGTCAGCACCTTACAGGTCAGTCTTAGTGGTTATTTGCTTATTTACCAGTCACTTCTTCCCATAAGATATTCCACTAGCTTTTGTTATTCTTTAAATTCTGAAGACATGACACGTCTATCTCTTCAACATCATATACAGCTTCAGAATTCACTGACACAACATTCAATACATACACAGAGCCCACTCCCTAGCACTGCTGCCCCACATCAAGGAGGGAGAGAGTGGGCTCAGCTTTCTGCAGGCAGACCATCAGTGTTGACCCTAACAAGGAGCACCATGATAAGTCACTAACAGGAGTTTAAGACCGCCTTCTGCTGCACCCCCCCCCAAAGTCCTTCCTTGGAGATTAAGATGATATAGATAAGATCTGGCAACCCAACAAAGAACCTTGCGCAGAACAGGCTCTAGACCTAGGAGATCCCACAAAGCATTTGCACTTTACTCACAAGAGGACCTCAGAGAACACTGACTTATTTTGGAAACAATTATCAATTTAATCAGCTTCTTTCTTAGTACAAGGTAGGAAAAATTAAGTCTCAGAAACCCTTGGCAGGAAACAAATAGATGAGAGCTAACAGCAAAGAAGGGAGAAACTATAAAGAAAACCTGTAAGAACTCAAAAGTAATCTGAGCAATTAGTAGTCTAACATTCCTTCGCAAAGCCAGATAAAAAGATTTGAACTGAGTTTCTGTGACACACACCAACTAACTTCAAATATCCAGGATCCAAGTGTCAGCCTTGTGCACTGTCTGCTACTACCGTTCCTGAAAGTCACAATGAGCAGCTTCGACCTCCTCACCTTCACTGGAGGGGTGGCCCCCGTTCCAGAGTGCCTGCGAATCTGGCAGCCATTCTGGCTGGGCCTCTGCGGCTTGTTGTTCAGCTGAGGTTTCTTCACCGTGCCTCCGTGGTCATTTCTCACGGAATCGACCTTCTCAGCAGTTGTTTTGCTTAAAAGCTAATTAAGAACACATGAAAGAGATGAGTGCTCTTATCAAAGCAAGTTATTTCGAAAGAGTATCCTTCTGATTCCAGCTTCCTAACTTATCACAACTATTCTCAATTGTGTAGTTCTTCTAAATAACTTACCACAGAGCTGTTGGCATCTGGTAGGAACTGTCCAAACTCTGACAACAGATCTTCCTGATTTTTAAAGAGACGAGCCACCTGGGCATACACCTCCTGCTCAGTCAGCGCTGGAGTGTAGTTTCCTCCAGCTTCCTTGGCATTTCGCTGCTCTTTCTAATAGGAAATTGCAAACGGGAAGAGATCATATTAAAGGGGCACTATTTTGAATGACCTGCTTTTGCACAAAGTTTCTGAGAAGCCTGGTAGGGGCTTTGTATGTTATCTATTTGGACTGCAGTTAAGACGAAAGTCTATGTTCTTAGCACCTGTTTTTGGCTTCAAACTTTGAAGTTGAGAAAGGAGTGGAAGATGGTGGCTGACAATTCCTTTTGAAAACCAGAGCAGTGTGTGTGAAAGATCAGGGGATCACTACCGACTGATAAAACACAAAATATTAGAGAAATTTCTCCTTCTATTGTACTTTAACTATGTACAAATCATTCTTTAAACTTCCAGATAAATAGCACTGTTTCACAGAGCAGTGACTTTAAAAATCCTAACTGGCTGCTACAAGGCAATTAAAGTCAGGTAAATCAAACTGGCTTTACAAACACACATCACAATTTCTAACTGGTTAACTACCAGTAAGAATTAGTGGACACAACTGTGTCCACAATAACTAGTTCTTCTCAGACTAGTTGTCCCCAGAAGGCAAACTGGTTAAGACAGGCTGAAAGGGCAACTGTCTTACCTGATATGTGTGCAAAATCTCCAGGAACGCTTTGTAGATGTCTGGTTGGCCCTGGAACCTGTTCTTGATCTTATTAACATAGTTGATGGCATGGTTAAACTCCACAGGCTGATTGTTCTGCAAGGGCGGGGCTGTTCCCAACGAGATTGTCACTGGTGTATGAGGCTGGACAGGTGGAGAACGTGGGGACGCGTATGGTGGGAGTGGGGGAGTCTGCTGACTGGCTGGAGTATGTGCTTGTAGTTGGGAAGGCTAAAAAGAAAAAAGTCTTTATTCTCCTCAGGAATACAGATGGTTTAACACAGGAAAGAAAGTTCAAAGTAAAGAGAAACAAGGTGTCTGATTAACATATATACTTTATTCACTCTGGCTAGGCCATCTTAGCCCAGCTCAAATCACACTGAGCAGGGGTGGCAAGAGCAGAGGGTTCATACATTGTAATACAAAAATTCCAGCCTTAAATTTTCTAAACACAATCTTAAAAGTGGGTGACATCTCCAATTACAGGGAAGAATTTTAATATGCAATTTTTAAGCTTCCTTGCTTAACAGGTGCAAACAGAATAGGAAAAAAACCTTTTTCTACATAGATTTTTAATGTCAAAAAAGACAATTCAATTGCTGCAGTTAATGCCACATAAAAAAGTCTTCTAAACAAACTCTGCCCAGCAGACTCTCTGAGGTGATGGAAATGTTCTTTATTTGCATTATTCTGCACAATAGCCACTAGCCACATGAAACCAGTGAGCACTTAAAATGTAGCTGGTGCAACTGAAAAACTAAATTTATTTTAATTAATTTAAATATAGCCATATGTGACTCATGGCTACTGTATCAGTAGAGTTCTGTACTAAGGACACCTCATCATCATCATCATCATCAAGATCTTCTCCTTAGCTTGATATGGCCTAATCTGGTAAACAGAGTAACTTTTTGTAAAATGATGACCATACAGAAAACAGTGTAATCTGATCATAAGCTGACCATTTCTGCCTGTGTTATCAAAGTACTATTACACAAAGCTGTCACTTCTTGGGATGCTCATGGGTTCAAACAGCAGAAGTTGGGGGCAAGAGAGTCCATGCAGGTTGCTGATGTATAGACTTAAACAGATATATAACTATGTGGTGTGTAAATGTGAGCCACTTTATAGGAATGTGACTTGCATCTTCTCTGATGAAATTTTAACTTGTGTTATCTATCTAAGCCTTATATACGAAGGGAAAATGTCAAAGGAGGGTGCTTTCTAGGGATGCATTTCACATGGTGCAGAGTTTTCCAAGTGCTCACCTTGCTGACTTTGGCAGGTGGGGGCTGAGGAGCTGGCTGGGCAGGTGCTGGGGCTGACTGGGCTGAAGGCTGGGAAGGATGTTGGGGTGGTGGCTGAGGCTGGGGCTGGATGCCATGGGTTGGGATCTGATGAACCTGGCCAGGAGTTGTCACATTCACCATGTCATTGGTTTGCACCTCAATCTTGTAGCCAGGGGGCAAGAAGGTATTGAAGCCCATGATCAGGTCAGGGTGGCCTTTGAACAGCTGGGACACACGACTAATCACTCCTGGAGTGTCGATGCTGATTTAAAAAAAGAAAAAAACACAAATATTAAAGTTGCAAGCTTGACAAAGCACCCTGGCAAGACAAAATTCACATTCCACTAGGTTCTCTATACAGGAAAATAAAAATCAACCTGAATATTACAAAATTAACCACACCCAAAGACCTCTGAAATTCAAAGCCATTTATCTTCATAACCAAAGAGGCTTGGTCAGAATAGACATTCAAACATGCTAACAGTCCCATGAAACAAATACTTAGGCAGTAAGTCTTCAACTCCAATTCCCATGCAAGAACCAACCCCTGATACACCAGTGTAAGTTATGTATCTATATACACTGTTCAGATGAGTTACTCTTTTATAATAGTGAACCATGCCAGAATATTAGGGTATCTTAAGTTAATCCAAAAAGCAAGTAGCCTAATCATTACCAGTTTACTTCCCTGACTGAGATTAAGTACTAAGAAAAATTTATCAATATGCAGAAAATAAAGGTGTTGGGCCTGCAATTTTTATATAACAATATATAAAACAAAAACATGACCCATGGAAATAAAAACACAACCCCCTCCAAAGAGCCCTTTATCATTCAGCAGATGAGAATAAGCTACATCCTCCTTCCAGAACCAAAATAACAAAGCAAAATTCTCAAGTACAACTACATGTATCTTTTACCTCTGAGATTTAAACTCCTTCATGATGTCAAGGAAGTCATTGTAGACCTGAGGCTGACTACCAAACTGCAGCTTCACTTGGTCAAGGTAGGATAGTGCATCCTCCACCTGAGGCAGGAACAAATCTCAAGGTTATTAAGAGAAAAGCCAGGCAAGAATTACTTCTACAAGATTGATTTATACCTAAATAAAATCAGCATATTAAATGAAATAGAAACATATAGTAAATATACATTAAAAACACTAAAAATTAACATGGGTACCAGTAATATAACTCAAGCTTAAAATAAAAATTAACTCATAAAATCTGTAACCTTGCTTTGAATAGTTCTGCACAGAATTATTAGTGAAGAATAACACATCCATACGTCATTCACTTATTCATTCATTTATTCATTTCATAAATATTTACTAAGAAGCAACAACATGCTAGGCCAGGACCAACGTGAGGTCCTAAGGAATTAATGATAAATAAGCCACGGTATGCCCTGCTGTACAGAAGTTCATTCCACATCCAGCTGGGAGTAATAACACAGTGGGAAAGTGGGCAATCACCAAATGCCCAGAGAGCACATGGGAAGGGAACCCCTCCACACACAAGAAAATAAACCAACCAACCAACCTATGGGGACATACCAGAGGGCTTCCTAAAGAAATGGTGTCTGATCTGAGTCCTGTGGATGAGTACAAGTTAGCAAAAATGAAGACCCATGAAGAAAGTCAGAGGAAGCAGCATGGGCAAAACTGCAGATGCGACACCATCTGGTATATATGGAAATGTGAAAACAGTTTAGTTTGGCTAGAGGATCTGTGGTGAAAAGAAGAAATGGTGGTAGGAAGAGTGATGATAGATGACACAGGAGACGATGCAAGATCTAGACCCTAAAAGGATCTAGATTTTTAGATCTAGAAGGCAATTCAGATTTTTATCATCTGCACTTTAGTGTATCAATTTGGCTACAATACTGAGAACGAGTTGGTGCAGGAAAAACAGATGATGAAAAGGAGGTAGGAAAACCAGTCACACTATAAGGTTAACTCATGTGTGAACAGGAGTGGCATAAATTACAGTACTGACCAAACAAAAAGAGAGAACTGGACAGACTCAAAAGCTTTTTAGGAGACAGAAGTGACAGGGTTTGGGGGCTGACTGACTGTATATGGAAGATAAGGCAGAGAGGGCATTCACTAAATTATACACCATGTGGGCATTCACAAAGAGGAATAAGTTTGAAGGGCCAGAAAGTTACAAGTGTGATCTAGGACAACCTGAGTTTTAGTTACTCAGGAGATATCTAAGGGAACTGCCCACTAGGTGTATCCTACATACTCTGGGATTATTTTTAATTCTATATAACAGCAAGTTTAGGAAAGTTTCACAAGTAAACATCTGATTTGACAAGCATTACTCTTGTGACATGTTGTGAAACAGAATCTTTATGATCAAATAAGCCATTAAAGAGCAGTAGCTCAAGAGTTGCCCGAACTTCCACTATAGCCATGGTTAACGAGAGCATTTGTGTTGCCAGAGCACTGTGTGTATACCTGGTCGATACCAACTCACTGGAGGTTGGTTTTTTGGTAGTTTATAAATAACATGACAATTTTTGTTGAAATTCAATATTCAGAATTTTCCATATTGAAATGTTTCATTAGTGACCAAATTGATGGAACCTAAAACTCAGTAAGTTTGCAGAAGGGAAAAACTTTGGAAGATATTTAAGAATAGTATTCACAGTCACAACAGAAGAGTTATCAAAAATAAACATACAAAAAATAAGAAACAAAAACAAGCACTCTACCATGTAATACAATAAATACACAGAGAGAAAAAGTGCTGAAACCTGAAGAAGCAAAGTATACATGATGTCTGTGTGTCTGGAAGAAAAAGGTATAGGTCATAATGAACCACTGTTTAAAAATTAGTATAGTACAACTCTTTTATCAAAGCATGTATACAGTTCTAGCAATCGTTACTTAGAAGAACACAACTTGGAAGGAATCATTTGAAAGCTACAGGTTTAAGGAGGCATGTGGGGCGGGTCTTAAGAGTCTGCTGATGCATCTTCCTGGCTCACTTCAACAGGCATTTATTAGTAAGGTCCCCAACCTCCTGGAGTTCACAACGTTGTTGGGGAGACAAGCAAATAACTGTATAGAGAACTTGCTAAATATGTGCCAAATATGTACGCTGCTGGCATTCAACAAATAATTATTCAAATCTTCCTTGTCATTAATCTGCCAAAGACAAAGAAGAAGTATAGACAATGTCGATGCATGAAATAAGCTAAGAGTTCTCACTGAACACTTCCTTATTATAGAATATAAATGGTTTACTGAAGTTGGTTCAAATGCTTGTAAAACATTTTAAGACTGATCCAAAAATGGCAAGCTATGTGAGAAAATTAAATGAAATTACACGGAGGCACAAGAAACCATTTTACCTCTCCTTGTTAGATAGGAAATTCAACAAGTTATTACGTCCAGGAATCACATTCAAGAGCTTGTAACCAAGAGAACAGAGCAAGAAAACCTAACTCAACCTGTGACTCACTCTATAACCCCAACTCTAAAGCCCTTTCTTGCTTCCTTGACAGCACCTATAAAACATACAAAGCACACTCTATATACTTATAGCCGAGTGAGGAAGGAGAATAAAATAGGCGCCGTGCTTTGACAGGGCTGACTGGAAAAAGGATATACAAATAAATGTACATTTTTTGTTAGTGTAATAAGTAAGTTATAAGTGCTTTTGCAACATTAAGGTATCAATTGCTAAATATAGTATTAATATGGAATTTAGTCACACCAAACCAACTTAAAAATTTTTTTCAGGACTTGGTGAAGTTCTAAGTTTGTAACAATAATACATCTTGGTATACAGCCACCACTCTACAAACAGAAAGTAAAAATGCTTTAAGGAAAACATTGATATAACTTACAAAATTTTCCCAAACACAGAGCCCAGAGTAAAGTTTCAGGCCCAAATAATTTCTACTCTCTTTAGGACTATGTTTATGCGTAGTCAACTCGTAATTACTTAAGCTAATATACAGAGTAAATTGTACAAAATCCCTCTAGCTTTGGTGTGCTTTTATTTATGTAACATTTAATTTCTTTAGGCCAATGTTAAAAAGTTCTTGCTAGTCCAAAACAATGAGGGCAGGAGTCAGGGAGAACTAGATTAAGTACCAAAAAAAGAGAGAGATGAAATATCTGCTACACACAGATGTGTCCTTTAAGGATACATTGTTCATTTTTACTTGCAAGCTACTTGATATAATTACAATTGTATGACCAAATAAAGATACAACATCTTATCTCTTTATAGGTCTTCAGTTTTATACTTCTTGCACTTGATTTCAAATTTTATATTAAAACTAGGGGGAAAAAAAGAAATCTGGAAAACTTACTAGCATAATCACACATTTGGAAAAGTAACACTCAGCTAAACAGAGAGAGAAGGTTAGCTGGAAATGAAAGTTTCATTTCTCCATGGATGCATGAATTTCAAAGTGTTGAAAACCTACAGCATACACTCAGTAGATCAGATGAAAACACTGACTTTTTACTCACAACGACAGCCTTTCCCAAACTTCATAAAGGTTTCCCGAAAGGAGCATGTGATTTACTAAGGATGGACTTGATGATGCTAGCCAATTCAGCTAGTCATAAAGAATAAGAAGATTAAACCATAATACTTGGGTCCATTTACCATACAGGACTATAGTCAACCATGTGTATGTTAATAAAACCTTATTCCACGCTAAGAACTGAAGAGTTCAAAAGCAGGCATCCAAAAATGGACTTTATTTCATATGAAAATAGCTCCTCAATCCTGGAACGTTTGAACACCACACACATTCATTCCAAAAACATCTCTTGAATGTATTCTCTGGATCAGGCACAAGGTGCTAAGACAGGAAATCTAAATAGGTTTCAAAACAAAAACAAAGTAAGGCTTCCTGTCATTCAGCCCCCAGCCTACTGTAAACAGCTGTACCACCACTAGTAACAAGCTGAAGTCAATGATGCCTGCTAAGAGAGAAACGGAAGGGGCGGAATACCACCTTGAGTCTCTGAAACTGCTGCTGTCCCTGCACTGGTGCAACTGGTGGAGCCGGATGAGCGTGACTCTGGACCACCTGGCCTCCATGGGGCTGCACGGCTGTGGGGTGATGATGGCTGCTATGCACCGCTGCGATGGTGGGCCCATGACTGCTGGAGCTCTGCGGCACTGCTGAAACCTAGAACAGACGAAACACCGATGAGAAGCTTCAAGGCTTGTGCGTTCTTCCCCAAACGCCTCCAAAGAACACACATGCAGAAAGATTACCAGAAACCCAAATTTCCCACAAAAGAGAATTGGTGAAATAAACTATAGCCCACCCATCTTATAGCAGAATTCTACAGCTATTAAAAATTATATAGCTCGGTATATCTCAAACTATCTGTGGCGAAGGACCAGTTTTTCTTGTTTCTTAAGTTCTGATCCTTCATGGACTACTACTTTTATGAAATACAATAAAAATGAATTACTATATATAATGTGAGATAAAAATACATAAGCCCCTATTTTTTATTACAAGGTTTTACAGACATAAAATTACAATGTCCAATTGCTAAAGAAGTTTCTAAACACTCCATTTCTGTTCTTATTTCATTACAGACTAGTATGAAAGTATTCATATCAACCATCTGTGGACCACAGTTTGAATAGCACTGATAGATAGGCAAATATTTTAACACTTAAAAATGTTCACAATCCATAAACTGAATGTATTCATGTGTTGCATATGAATTTAAACTTTTAAATAATTTTTTAAAGCATATTACACAAAGCAGTATATATAATACACTAAGGATAAATCAGGAGTTTGTAATTAACATATACACATACTATATATAAATCAGATAACCAACAAAGACCTACTGTATAGCACAGGGAACTATACTCAGGATCTGGTAATAAACTGTAATGGAAAAGAATCCTATACACTCACACACACACACACACACACACACACACACATTGTGCTGTACATCTGAAACTAACACAACATTGCAAATCAACTATACTAGAATAAAAAAATTAACGTTCAGAAAAAAAAAAATAATAAAATTTTAAATCCTAGACAACAAATATATAGTAAAATGTGACCATTTTATTTTGTGACGGTAGGGTTAGAGAATATTTTTATTTTGTTTTATTTATTCTGTATATTGTTATTTGTTCCTGGAGTGAAAGCTCCAAGTCTCTAGCCACCTGACTAGGATTCAGGGAATTCCCCTTATTTGCTACTTTTAAAATAAAACTTTTAAATTTTCCAAACTGTTGGTGGTCTAACATGAAACATATTTCTTATCTACTCCCTCTTGTCCTCTTAAAAGTTTAGGGTTAAAATAAAAGTATAAGCCCATTTCCTTCTATTTCTATTGCAAAAAGTGTTATATAAAATTTCCAAAGCTTTAAAAATGTTCCTATTTCAGAACTCTAATCACTACAGAAAACAACTAAGGACAATACACCTGATATGCCACATCTCCAAGGTAAGGAGACTAAATAACATGACACTTTAAAACAATGTAAACTAAGCACTACAACTTAAGAATGTTTTTTTCCCCAAGTCCCCACAGATTTACAAAGATTACCCTGGGCAGAGTAGAAGGTGGGAAATAGAGCAACTATTTACAAATCCACAGAAACAATAAACATTAGGAGTAAAAAGAAACTATTTAGACGATTCAAAAAGCTCTAATACTTGTAAGAAGAGTTATATGTTTCTGAGCTTTTTATATTACAACATGCACATACTGAATGGGTTTTTGTAAGACTTAACTAGCATTTACAAATATTTGTGACGGCTGGTTTTATAAGAGCACGTTATAGTTTCTGGTATAGGAATAAATGTGATTATCCCAGGTGTAGGAGAAAGTCGTGAACTAGTTCAGACAAAAGTAATCAGCCAAGGAAAACACACTACCTTTCTTTCCTTCAAGTCCTAATCTAGTGATGTGATCTGTAGCAGTCCTCTGACTGCGCCACCTGGCCCCATAGGAAGGTACTATATTGCTTCAAGGCGGGCTCCAGTGGGGGAGTGACACCTAAGGAATTACCATCTCCTACTTCATCCAGGTTTCCCTCTTTCTTGACTGTTTTCTTATAATTCCTAGATACGGAATTGCTAGGTAAAAAAATAACAACTCTGATACAAACTATCAAATCGCTCTCAAGGAAGATTAAACCAATTTATATTACCAGTACCAGTCAAACCTTTTTATTTTTTCATTTTTACTTTATTTTTTCTGGCTGCACCACATGGCTTGCAGGGGCTAAGCTCCTTGACCAGGGACTGAACCCGTGCCACAGCAGTGAAAACCCAGAATTCTACCCACCAGGCTACCAGGGAACTCCTGTGCCAGCCCAACCTGTGCCTCTCTAGACTACATAAGTTATGGTTCTGACTGACCTGGAATGGAATATTATATATGCAATGATTTTTTAAAAAATTACTTGGGATATATACTGGTGGTCCAGTGGCTAAGACACCAAGCTCCCAATGCAGGGGGCCCAGGCTCAATCTCTGGTCAGAGAACTAGATTCCATATGCCACAACTAAGAGTTCACATGCCACAACTAAAGATCCCGCATGCTGCAACTAAGACCTGGAGCAGATGAGTAAATAAATATATATATATATTTAATTACTTGGATCTATACATATATTCTGGAGAAGGAAATGGCAACCCATTCCAGTATTCTTGCCTGGAGAATCCCAGGGATGGAGGAGCCTGGTGGGCTGCTGTCTATGGGGTCGCACAGAGTCAGACATGACTGAAGCGACTTAGCAGCAGCAGCATACATATATTCAAGTGCAAAGTTGTCCACTACATATTAAGTGAAAAGAAAGAACAGTATACACTGTATGACCTAAATTATGTAAAGAGAGAAGTGCATCGAGATAATTAGAAAGGTAAATAAACATGCCTGCATATGCAGAGAAAACTCTGAATACCCGAGAAATGCACCCAATGGGGTTAAGTCTGAGGGTTCAGAGGAAGAAGTCACATTATATCCTTTTTTTTTTAAAAACGGTGACATTTACTTTCATAACTAAAAAGGGAAAAACATAAATTTCTTATATTTTTACAAAAAAGAGTGAACAGAAAAGAGATGAATGATCAGTGTTGATCAGGATATGCAATGACAGGAATATACAGTGCTGGAGTAAACAGAAATAAACTGGGACAGCTCTGAAAAACAATTTGATGTTACCTGCTAAAGGTGAAGATGTATATATCCTATGGCCCAGCAAACCCTCTCCTAGACACTCAAACTTCCTACTATGTCCTCAGACCTGCAGGTCAGTTCAATTCAGTCGCTCAGTCGTGTCCTACTCTTTGCGACCCCATGAACCACAGCACTAGGCTCTTTAGTTCTTCTTCACTTTCTGCCATAAGGGTGGTATCATCTGCATATCTGAGGTTATTGATATTTCTCCCAGCAATCTTGATTCCAGCTAGTGCTTCCTACAGCCCAGCATTTCTCATGATGTACTCTGCATAGAAGTTAAATAAGCAGACCTGAAGAATGGTCTGCAAAAATAAGTAGCTTGCACCAGAATGCAAACCAACTACTTCACTAATAAATACACTGCTTTATTCCACTGCCTTTTTTTATTTCCATAGCAAACCCTTCTTGATAAAATATGTAGTGCACCAACTCATAGTCTGGTGCAAGCTTATCTTGCCAGGGATTGCCACTGTGAGTACTACTGTACTAGGAAAATCTTCGAACACTCACTGCAGCTCCTGTCTAACAGGAAAAGCCTGGAAACAGCTTGATACTCTATCAACAGAAGAATGGATAAATTAATTGAATATATTCATGTAACTCATAACCGAGTGAAAATTCCACTTAATTGGTCATATATATGAAAATGGATAAGTCTTAGGAACCACACTGAATGGGTAAAAAAAAAAAAATGAATCCAAGAAGAAAATATACATTTTTACTTTAGATACAAGTTCAAAAATACCCAAACTAAACAACTTTATTGTCTATATGTATAAATAAAATGGTTTCATATAACACAGGGAATCCTAGTCAATATTCTGTACTGGCCTGCGTGGGGAAAGAAGCTAAAGCGTGGATACATGCACACACACAACTGACTCACTGAGCCGTACAGCAGAAACCAACACAGCACCGTCAGCCAAAGACACTTCAACCAGGGAGAAGAAAGACTTTAGAACACTAAGGAAAGTCACGGAAATAATAAATACAGTTCAGATTAGTGGCTACCTCTAAAAGGACAGAAAAGCAAAAGGGACCATGGAAAGACACGATGAACTTCAAATGTTACAGCAACACTCTTTAAAAAAATGTGTGTAGTAAATACACAGGTGTACATTGTTTACATTATTTTTAATACCTTACATATATCCCATAAATAGATTTTTAATACCCGAATGTTTAATAAAAACTCTGCAACTGGATGAATCACCAGCGTTCTTCCTTCGCCCTAGTCCATTGCTGGGCTCCAGCTTACCTGATAACTGGGAGTCACGGAGTACTGAATCCCCGTGGCTGACTGCATGGTCTCAGACACCGCCTCATACACGGGAGGGGCTGGGGCAAGCACCCGGTGCTGGTGAGGAAAAGCCTCTGCACTACCAGGAATCCGACGCTGCTGGGCCGCATACACCGGTGACTCCTGGTCATCCAAACGTCGCTTCATTCTGCGCTCATGCTCAGGGATGCACTACAAAACCTGCAGAAACCAAAAGCAACAACATGCAAACCAGTTCACACTCCAATGTAACGTGCACAACCAGGTACCCAAAAGTTCAACTCCTGGAGTCAATGACTATCTACTGCATCTGGAGATGATCACTGGGCAGTTTAAGTGCATGGGGGACCACACACTCCCAACAGTGGACAGATTATCATAACTGAGAGACAAAAATGTAAATAACAACCCAGTTTGAATTACCTTGATACTGCAGAGTTGAAATATTTTTGGAGGCTATTCCTCCAATTTAGAAACACACAAATACACCTTTCTTTACTCTCTGGTTTTCTCAAGTGCCATCATCCCTAATATTAATTATATTATTCACCGGCTATAAAAACATTCAAGTGTTTCTTCCTAATTCCTCTCAAAAGCTAGTACTATAATTGTGGTCTAATTTTTAAAGTATGAAATGTTTCAACAATTAAATGGTATCATAGAAAGAATACTAGGCCAGTAGTAAGACAATGGTTGTAAACTTGCCAATTTAAGAAACTATGTACATCCCAATAAGCTCCTCCTTCCATGTAAATTTATTTCTTAAAAAATAAAATAAGGTTGAAACTGATCATTAATGAGTTTTCTCCTTATACTCTCAAATCCTAAAGTGATTCCAGAACCCCCTAGTTTAATAATCCCCCTGTACGGGAATACTTCCTTTCCCGCAGCACACAAAGTCTAGTAACACTCTGGCCAGGAATCCAGATGGGTCTTTTCGGAGCTCTTCCAACGTTGGTATCATTAATACAAGCATATCAATAAGAAAGAGAGGTCTAGTCAGCCAAAGACAAAATGGGGCCAAGCCCTACCACTTTTCTGGTCACAAAAAATAGCTTAAGAAAGATACCACTGCTGTGGTGAGAAGATTAAAAATACAGTAATAGACTTCACAAGCCACTCCCCTTTCCATCTAAAGCAAGATTCTTTTTAAAATTGGGGGGAAGTGGGTTACCTACTTTCTAAACACACCCAAATCTCTCTTTTCCTCATTTCCTGGGAATGTGCATGCCCTGAGGGGAAGCAATCCTCACAAGGACTCCTCGAGGCTGCTTCACCATCATCTTCGGCATGCCTGTCACTCGGGTGCTCAGCCCTGAAAGAGAATCTTGGGTTGTTCTCACAAACCTAAGTTAGATTCTGACACAGGAGCACAACTGTTTCATCTGCAAGCCAGCCATTTTCAATATTATCTTTCTGTACATCTCAAGCCATAATTAATCTTTCTGCAGATTATACTGTATTTTTTGCTGTGAGGGATATGAGATCTTACTTAGTCCCCCTACCAGGGATTGAACCCAAGCCCCTTGCATAGGAAGTGTGGAGTTTTAACCACTGAATTGCCAGGAAGTTCCTATTGACTATAAATTTAGATCAAAGGACGGTCTCCCAAATTTATATGATAATATGTTGAATTCAGTTAACTGGAGTTGAAAACAAACTGCTGATGGCTGCCGAGGGGAAATAATTTAAAATGTCTTAACTGATTATGTCTTCCCAGGCTTTTCTAGTATGAAGTAGCATATTTAGCACAGTATTTCAAAATTTTTCAGACATATTAAGAAGTTAGAAATATAGATTTACACATGCTATTTATACTTAAGAACTGCCAGTCAACTGACTATGAACACTCAATCTCAACCTATTTGGGAGTAAGTCTAATAAATGAACAGCGTGAAAAGTCTTAAAGACTTCTTGGCTGTTACTTCTATATAAACCCATGATCTAGATCATAGCTTGATCTTGGGTTCTATTGGCATGGAACCTAAATGCTTAAACACACCTGAGATTAATCGCTGGAACCAAAAGCCAGTCGATACCTCATAAATGGAAAACCAAATTTAGATCAGAAGATCACGGCACAGACTATGGAAAAAAGACTAGAGTACCTGTCAAGACCTGGATTCTAGTCTGAACTGACTTGAAGCTATGTAACTTTGGTCCTGTTTTCTTACTTGCAAAAGGATGTAATTAGACTACTCTGTGTGCATGCATGCTAGCTGTGTCCCACTCTTCGCCATCCCATGAACTGTAGCCCGCCTAGCTCCCTTCTGTCCATAGAATTCTCCAGGTAAGAATACTGGAGGGGGGGTGTCATTTCCTTCTTCAGAGGCCCTTTCTGACTCAGAAATTGAACCTGAGTCACCTGCATTTGCAGGCAGCTTCTTTACCACTGCCCCACATGGGAAGCTATTCCCAAATGCTGGTCTACGGACAAGTCTATAGGAGATGAAAAAGAAGGGGGAGGAGGCTGCAGTTGAGTTTTCCAAAGGTTAAGTATTAGAGAACTATGCTTTATTCTGAGACCATGTCCTATCTTTTAGCTATTAAAATGTCATTTCCTTTATAAAGTGTGATTCTATAAAGCAGTTAACTGCATTTGCCTCTGGAGTTTGCCTTCCAGACCATCTCTGTGACACTGAAGGGGCTGCCGAGGTCTGTACTTTCTGTGAACTGCCCGTTACTTCTTGAACAATTACCACTCTTAATTCTATTCCCTAAATGATTCTCAAATCAACTGCTTCTCCCCTAGTCATACAGGCAACTCCTCATTTTGGGACCTTACCATTCTCCATTACCAACACCTTCCAGCCTCCTTCCCATCCAGTCTACACTGCTTTTAAAATGGTTGGCCTCAAATGCAAATCCAATCCAGTTGTAAATCCATCAATCCAGGATTTCCCTGGAGGTCCCCAGGTGGAAACCCAACTTGGCAGGCTCACTGCTGAGGGGCCTGGGTTCAATCCCTGGTTGGGGAACTAAAATCCCACAGGTCATACAGTGCAGCCAAAAAAAAAAAAAAATCCAAATTCCTTAAGTTAGCCTTCAAAATTCTTTCTCACTAATTGTGGGGACAATTTAACTCACCAATTATATCCTTGCAATCCCACCCTATGATCCAGGTTATCAAAATGTTTTTCCACTCCTCTAAAGAAGCCTGAAGTCTGTAAGCTTCTTCAAGATAGAGTACTTTTCAACTTTGTCTGCATTTCTCACCTTCCAGACACTCATCACAGATGCTCAAATACTGCATATGCAGAAGGGAAAGATAATAATTAACATAACAGCAGCATATATTGAGTGTCAAGCACTATTCTACACAATTTACCAGTAATAATTTAATCCATTCAATAACCCTGTAAGCAAGGTGCTACTATTCTCTATTTTACAAATAAGGAAACTGAAGCACAAAGATTCAGTAAACTGCCCAATGCTGCACAGCTATGAATCCACGAAACCTGCTTCCAGAGCCTGGATTCTTAACCATCTCACTATCCTACCTCACACAGAAGAGAAGACAAACAGGAAAGAAGAGTTCCTTTACTAATTTAACACACACACACACGTTGAGCAACTTCTGCTTTCTTTAACTTCTCACACACTTACCTCATTCATCCTTTCTTCAGCCTTACCCAACAGCAGGAATGCTCTGGCAGCACTCATTCACTCATTTAGCAAATATTTAGATATGAAGGTGGTAGAAGATTTCAACCCTTGCCCTAGAAAAGTTTGAAAGCTAGTTGGAGGGACTTTCCTGATGGTCCAATGATCAATTAAGACTCCATGCTCCCAATGTGGGTGGATGGTGGGGGTGGGTTCGATCCCTGGTCACGGAATCCCAGCTAGCTGGAAAGATCATATATAGCCTCACTAGTAATATAAAGTAAAATGATTACCCAAAGGAACTAGCAAAAATTAAAAAGAGAATGATGATATTCAGTGTAGGTGAGAGTACAAGGAGACACTACTGGTGGTAACTGGTAAAGACTATTTGGTTGGCAACTTCCAGGCTTTTATTAAATTTTTAAATCAAATTGAAAACGTGCATACCCTTTAACTACCTAACAATTCCACTTCTAGGTCTCTATCCTATGTATCTGCTAAATATATTTACTGCAGCAAAGTATGAAAATTTTAGACATCTATCAATAGCTAAGTAAACTGAATCCACCCATATTTAGAAAACTATGTAGTAATTAGAAGGATTAGGGTTCATCTAAAGGGAAAGGCAGAATAGTGAAAAAAAATGAGCTACAGAATATATACAGTATGCTCTCAACACATACACAACGTAGTCTTTTAATATTTCTGCATTTCATTGTGTGCAAATTCTAGAAACAAGTATTGAACTCTAGATAAGGAGATGCATGCTCAAGCACTTAGATAAAAGTATAGAGAATTCCCTGGAGGTCCAGTGATTAGGACTCTGCACTTTCACTGCCAAGGGCCCCCCCAAAAGAGTGTACCAATGTGTGAAATGTACTTAGAATATCACCAAGAAATTAGTTTGGATTAATAGATGATGGAATGGAAAGGTGGATATATAATAAAACAAGTACTGTAAAAATAGAAAGAGTAAAATCCAGGTAGTGTGTGTATGTGGGTGTCAACTATAAAATATCAAATCGTAGGAGGAAAAGCTAGTAATACAAACTAGTTCACAAGTGATACAAACAAGCAGTGTCAACTGGGAAGGGAGTAGAAATGTGTACACTGAGAAAGATCCTATAGGGAGAAGGTAGTTATATTTTGAAAATTAGGGATGAATTAGGGTATGGGAGTATACAGGATGAATTAAAATATTATAGTAACTTGGACTTATAGGCAGTAAATAGCTATATAAAATTTTTGTCTATTTATCCATCCTACAAAGAGTTCCCGAGTGTCAATCCCTGTGCTCAGGGTGGGGGCCCCAGCACTGAAAGGGACATTCCCTGCTCCACAACAGCCAAGTCCTGTGATCTGATTGCCACCAGCTCCTCACAACACTCTTGTCGGCTGAGCACTCAGAAACCTTCTATCTGGAAGGAAACTGATACTCCAAGAAGTTAAGTGACTTATTCAAGGTCACATGGCTGGTTAAAGGAACAAAAGGGTAGATACTCTTTCTCCTTGGAATACATGATATATCTGGAGTAGAAATACTGGACAGACCTTAGAGCATCCTCCTTAGAGAGAGGTACAGTATAATTCGAAACCATTAAGTATTTGAACGCCAGATGATGGAGCCGAAAGAGTTAGAAAACTACTTTCAAGCCCCGATTCAGTTGACATGATTTTCATCTCTGACTATGGTCTCCAACTGTTTCAGATTTGGAGGTTACCCTGTTATCAAAACTCTAATCTAAAAAGGCAGAATTTAAAAAAAAAAAAAAAAGAAGCACTCTGAGGGATAGAAACTAGTAAAGAAAGCCTAATGTGAACAAACAATAGCACAGAACACTAAAAAGTCATCAGGTCATTTATTATAATAAAAAGTGGGAAAAGCTCCAAATCATCAGGCAAAGTAATCATAATTCCCAAATAAAGTAAGTAGAGCAGGATAATTCTGACATTGCAGGGGAGTCTTCTGGAGTAGGACAGAACAACTGAGGAGTGAATGGGACACATTCCAGACAGAAGGGCAGGGTAAAAACTAACCCATTTAGAACAAGAAAAATAAAAACTAATTTTCTAGTTTTACAAACTACATGTCTTTAACCACAATAAAGTGTTGGCCTCCGAGAAATCCAGAAACTTCACCATTACTAAAATCCAAATGGAAAAATCCAACTTTAAAGAATCTTTTAATTTAAATTTCACACATTGGCTTAAATGGAAACAACAGAATTTTTTCAGTCAAGATAAGCTCAAAGTAATAGTGTGCATGAAACATACCTCCTTATTATGGAGGGTTTTAACACACAACTTTCTTTATGAAATGCATTTAACTTATGGCTGACCCTTTAGTGCCTCTTGCTTTTGTGTTGGTATTATCTTGAATTAGGCACACTTTAAAGATCTATTTATATAGTAAAAGAAAAATCTGAAATTATTCTCTCTTACTACATCACGTGAAATCACATAAAATGTGTCCTGGTCAGTTTTATTTCAATGAATACTCTTGAAAAAATGGCAAGCTTCTCTTCAAAAGTAAGGAAATTTTTGTCAAAGCACAAGTGACTATAATTACTTCAACCCTGTAAAACTCCTGTCACAGTCTACTTCAAAATCTGTCCAAAAATCCACTTCTGGATTTAAATCTGCTAGAAAGTGAAAAAAAAAGAAAAATGTTTCCAGAATGAAAAAGTCAATCCATTTAGATTTCCCACATTACCTAGAATAACTGCTCAACAAAATTAACAACCCATTTTCCTCAAAATACCGCAAGATATGATACCCAAGCCTCCCCTGAAAAGTAGTTTCATATTTTTCCGAAGAGGCAGTCCTCCAATCTGGGGAGATTTTGCCCCCCTCCAGGGTGCATCTGGCAATGTTAGAAGACATTTTTTGTTGTCAAAATTCCAGAAGAGGGGTGCTACTGGCATCTCATGAATGGAGACCAGGGATGTTACCACACACACTGCCGTGTACAAGACAGTTCCCCACGACAGAGAATGATTCAGTCCAAAATATTAATAGGGCCAAGGCTGAGAAATCTGGATTAATATAATGTCAATCCCATTTGATATATACCTTTTGTGAGCTTTGATGAAGTTATGTCATACTACAGTGTGACAACAATTTTTAAAAAGGTGATTCAGGACAATCATCTTGTATGTGCAGATGGTAACACTGCTTTCTTTACAACATGTGATTCACCTTTAACCCCAGTATGCCAGAAAAACTTATCATTAAACATCTGAGCTAGAAACATCTTTATTAGAAATTTTAGTGAGAATTTAAGCTGCAAATCCAAATTTTTATTCCACATCTCCCTGACTTTGAAGATATATATAACCAAAATTAAGCAATATCCTTTAAAATGCAACTGACTAGTCATCAACTGTCATGCACAGACTTATCTCAAGTAAAGTTCTAGCTTATTACTTTGGGGTTTTTATTGGTTTTTGCCCTCACATCATCAAACACAACTTTGGGCATCTGTCCATTTACAAACTGTGTCAAGTAAGTTTTAGTAGAATACCATTGTACATCCTTTTAGCAAATTGTAATGGTTTACACTCTTGTTGAAAATGCTGCATTCCTAAGTTCTTCTAGTTGAATGAGTCCTGGATGAGGACATCATATTCCAGCCAGCATCCTACCCTCAGAAATATATTGTCCACTCATAAATTCTTCAGTTTGAGAAAATTCATCTAGGATATTATCATCTAAAGCCTCAAAGTCATCAGCTTGTCTTATGCAATCAGTTCTACCATCACCATCACAGCCAAGAGTGTTGCTATCTGTTGCATCGTTATTGTTTATTCACTAAGTCATGTTCAACTCTTTTGCGACCCCATGGACTGTGGCCCGCCAGGCTCCTCTGTCCGTGGAATTTTCTAGGCAAGAATACTGGAGTTGCCATTTCCTTTTCCAGGGGATCTTCCCGACCCAGGGATTGAACCCACATCTCCTGCATTGGCAGGTGGATTCTTTACCACCAAGCCACCAAGGACGCCCATTACTTTCATCTAATAGTTCCTCTGACAACTGTGAAACGTCTTCCTCTGTTAGTTTTCCTCTTTGCCATTACTGGAGGAAAATAAAAGATTACGGGTTATGAAATATGTTGAATGAAAACTTATAAAAAACTATAAAAATAGTAGCATAAAGAACTGTCATCAATTCTTCACTCAGATAACTCAATTGGTAACATCTTACATAATGTTTCAGATGGCATCCCCCAACTTCTTTTATACATTTTTGAAAGATGCTGTAATGCTTTGGGCAAAGCAGTAAGAAAACTGAAGAAATGATGACTTAAAAATTTACTATTGCATCACCCTTCTAGGGTTTCCTAGGTGGTATAGTGGTAAAGAATCCACTTGCAATGCAGGAGATGAAAGAAATATAGATTTGATCTCTGGATCAGGGAAGATCCCCTGGAGTAGGAAGTGGCAACCCACTCCAGTATACTTGCCTGGGAAATCCCATGGACAGAAGAGCCTTGTGGGCTGAAGTACATGGGGCTGCAAAGAGTTGGACACAACTGAGTAGGCACGCATGCACACAACACATCCTTCTAGGCAATTCATCATTCTTCCACTTATTATTTCAGGGTTTTTTTTTAGCATCAGTTCAGTTCACTTGCTCAGTTGTGTCCAACTCTTTGCGACCCCATGAACCGCAGCACGCCAGGCCTCCCTGTCCGTCACCAACTCCCAGAGCTTACTAAAACTCATGTCCATCGAGTCGGTGATGCCATCCAACCATCTCATCCTCTGTCGTCCCCTTCTCCTCCTGCCCCCAATCCCTCCCAGCATCAGGGTCTTTTCAAATGAGTCAACTCTTCACATGAGGTGGCCAAAGTATTGGAGTTTCAGCTTCAATATCAGTCCTTTCAATGAACACCCAGGACTAGTCTCCTTTAGGCTGGACTGGTTGGATTTCCTTGCAGTCCGAGGGACTCTCAAGAGTCTTCTCCAACACCACAGTTCAAAAGCATCAATTCTTCGGCGCTCAGCTTTCTTCACAGTCCAACTCTCACATCCATATATGACCACTGGAAAAACCACAGCCTTGACTAGATGGACCTTTGTTGGCAAAGTAATGTCTCTGCTTTTTAATACGCTATCGAGGTTGGGAATAATTGATCAGTAATAATAAAGTAATTCTTAAGACGATGAAAGACCAAAATGCTTCAAGATATAGGATAACTAAGATCATCAAGATCCTACAATGTAGGTCAGATGTATAAACAGTAAAAGCTACAACCAGTTTATTCCATTTAAAAGAAAATAAGTAAATTTCCATTCTTTTGAAGACCTCTTTAATAAAGAATAAAGTCATGAAATATAAATCTTTACAGGTAGTTAATACTGCTCAAAAAAGAAATTCAAAAACTAAAATTGGGTCTAACTAACACTGATGTTATAGACAAAAAATGGACAAGAAACTATTTAGTTCAATTCAAAAGATACTAACAACTGTATCAATACTCACGTTCTGACTTGATCACTGTACTGTAGTTGTCTGTAAGATGCAGCTGGGAGATCTGGGTGACGGTTATATGGCAATTCTTCGTATTATTTTCTCAAGTTTTTTAAGCATAAAATTATTTCAAAATGAAAAGTTTAAAAAATTAAATATTAACAGTAGAGGAATTTAAAAACAGGAAGTCATTGTGTATCCCTCTTCTCAAGGACATTAACATTTACTTCGTGAGACAAGCTTTCTATAAACTAACTGGCAAGTGTAAAACTACAGATTAAGTATAACAGAAGTTATGCTAGCTGCAGCTTTAAAGAAAGTATTATAAAGAACAGAACTCAAGGTGGTTCTGTGGATGACAGATGTGCCACTCACCTCATATTTCCTCTATTCTATTAGCTATATTTCTGCCCCAACACAGACATGGGCACACAAACCTTTAAACATCTTTGTATCCTCCACTGTGCTTAGGATAGTGTTTTGCTGTGATGGAAACCAAATCATTCATTCACACATGTATGCATCCTCTAATATTTAGTAAGCACATACTATGTGTTGGGCATTGTTCTGGGAGCCAGGAATATAGATGTAAACAAAATAAAACAAACTTTTCCTTCCTCAGGAAGTTTACATGTTTAAAAATATATATTTATTTATTTACTTGCCTGCATCAGGTCTAACTTGAAGCAGGCGGGATTCTTAGCTGTGGCATGTGAACTCTCCACCGCGGCACGCACGATACAGTTACCTGACGAGGGATCAAACCCAGACCCTCTGCACTGGACCACCAGGGAAAAGTTTACAGTTTAGTGGGAGAAATAAACAAGATAATAAACAGTGTTCAAAATATTAGACAGTGACACATGCTAAGAAGAAAAAGCAGAGGAGAATTTTTAAAATTTTAGGTAATAATGACCAAAGAATATCTCACTAATAAGGTAACTTATGAAATGAAGTTAATGAAGTAAGGGGCTGGCCATGTGGGGATGAGCAGAAGCAGTATTACAGGCAGAGGGAACAGCAAATGCAGACTCTGACGTACATATGTGCTTGGCGTTTTCCAAGAAAAGGGAAAAAGCCACGCAGTTGAAGCAGAATAGAGGAAAAACAAACTAATAGGAAATGAAGTCAGAAAGGTGATGGAGTTGGGGGTAATAGGTAGAGAGTACATGTTTGTTCTCATAGGTCATAATAAAGACTCAGACTGAAATGGGAAGCCATTGGAGGGTTTTAAGCAGAGAATCACTTGGGTTGCTATGTTAAGAACAGACTGAAGAGTGGCAGTAACAAAACAGAGAGAACAGTTAAGGTGCTACTGAAATAATCCAAGCTAGAAATAGAGATGTTAGTGATATTCACTGCTGTAGCTGGGGGTAGGGGGTGGAATTAAGTGGTCAAATTCTGGATAGTTTTTTGAATATAGAGCCAACAGTATTTATTTGCTGTGAATAAGAAAGAAGTCAAAGATGCCTGTTAGCTATCCAAGAGGAAGTATGAAGTGGGCAACTGATTTGTTCCTCTACAGTAGAGAGGAGAGGTTTCCAGTGATAGAAATTTGAGTTATCAGTATTGCTTAGATTTTGGAAAGGCATATGGTTCATAGTGTAGCTCTCCATAACCAAGCACATTCACATTTCTGCACCAAGTGGGACAGCTTAGATCAGGTTGTGCCTCTGAATTCCTTATTACCAAATTCCAAACTTACCAAAATTTAGAAGTTGTGCTTCTGAATTCCAAACTTACTGAAACAAACAAACAAA